TCTTGGACAGGATCGCGATCAGCTCGGCCTGTCTCAAAAGGGTCTTCCTCGACTCGGCGCCGTCTGGTCGCTTCACCAGCTCCGTCATGAAGTCGTAAGCCACCTTTCGGTAGATGTTGCGGTTATCCAGCCCTTGCTCGGGACTGTGATCGTCGCATTCAACCATCAAGTACCAGTGGAAGTAGTTGCCAAGAAGGAAGTTGCCGGCTGCGCGGGATATCAAGAACTTGGCCAATGAAGAGTCCTGGATGGCCTCCTGGGAAGAGTCTGCCCGGATGTGCTCGTACTTGAGTGCCTGTACCAGCTGAAGCAAGTACAGCAGCAGTTCATGATCGTCCGCCTTGCGCAGTCTTTCCACGGCGTATGCCCGAACAGCTTGGTTGTCAAAGGTGGGACCAAGCAGCTCGAGGGCGTCGTCAACGTCAATCTCGGTCCAGCGTCCCAAAACTTGCACGGCCTGCTTGGCCTCGCTTTGGTCCTGCCAGTTAACCGATTTGACAAACTTTGTGACTGCGCGTTTGTCGCGAGTAAGATGGTAGCGGAACTTCCAGATCAGGTCCTTTTCCTCGGGGGTCAGGGTATGCGTTGGCGAATAGGACATGATGAGGTTCAGCTCATCGCGGACCTTGGCATTCGGCTTGAGGTCCTTGTCGAGAACGCCGTGACGATGCTGGCTTCTGACAAGTCTCCTGTGCTTGCTCTCGGCCGGGTTGTCGCGAGCACCGACCTCTGGGTCGTAGACCTTCATCAGCCGACTACCAGGGCCGCCCGCCGCATCACCAAGCGCGTTGATACCGGGCCCAAACTGTACCTCGGGAGGTGGCTTCAGCATGACGTTGGACTGAGAAGCAGAGATGTGCTGCAGGTTTGAGATTGGCGGAGGGTCGTACTCCAAGTCGGCGAAAACGACGGGGAAATCGAATCGCGGCAACTCGACGTTGAGTTGGAACTTGGAGAACCCCGGGTGAGACTCGGTGTCCACGACGCCGTTCTCGTCGTCCGTGCTTCTCTCCTTCTCGGGCGCATCCCCATTTGTTGCCCTCTGACGTTGCATGGTCTTCAGTGAAGCTTTTGCCGACTGCAGACCACGCTTCTCGAACCCCCGGAAGACGAGCTGATCAAGCCAGTCGACTCTCGGAATCTCGCCCATTTCGTGCTTTTTGAACAGCTTTTCCATGCGCTCCAGCTCTTCGGCGTCCTTATCTACCGGCGGAGCCTCCCCCTTCCTCGACCCATCCCTTTTCTTGCGGGGCACCGCGGGCGTGGTCGTGTTGTCGTTGCCGTCGGCGTTCTTGTGTCGGTGTACCATGCACTTCTGTCGGCCTTTCTGCACCTGGTTGTCTCGGTCAAAGAGCGGTAGCGTCGTGCCTCCGAAGGGAATCGCATGACCTCTCGCGTGTTTCCCTCCAGCGGGAGACGAGTCCCATAACGTGATGGCCAGACAGGAGTTCAGAGGGAGGGTTTTGTAGTTAATCGGCAGCGTGAGCCATTCGTTCCATCTGTTACAGCAGCATGTCAGCGCCTCTCCAGGCCGCGAGCCCCCGACTTCATCACTCACCTTCTCTCAGTGCGGAAAGATTTGTAGGCAGTTTGGACAGGCACCGTCAAGGGTTTGGAGCCGGCCCATACTTGAACGGTGACGTAGAGATCGGAGTGGGAACTAGCAGGTCAGCGACGGCGACCAGCAACGGCGCAGGAAGCTGTTCGGTACCTCTGGTTGGAGCCAATGTGCCTCAGCTCGGCCTTTTCCAGGAGAGTCGAATGTAAGAATGGTGTTTCGTCGCCCTCTAGGTTGATTCTACAGCAGAAACGCCCACCGTCAGTCGCGCACACTCTAGACATGTGGGTGGGACAACGCTCTGGAAGGGCAGGGCAGGGCAGGGCAGGGCACATACATTCGGATGCTCACTGGGAAATCCAGCGACTCGGAGCTCGCAAATGAGAACGGCTCCATCTTGACAACAGGAGCCTGTTCAAGGTCACGAGTCCATTATGCGATGAAGGTGGGAAACTGCAGATAGTTGTAGTCTGGAGCGAATGCGACGAAGGTGGTCGGTGGTTGGCGTAGCGCAAGTCGACCGCACATTGTAACCACCGATAGGCAGCTGACAGACAGCAGCACCAGCGGGAAGCTTCAGTGGGGCACGCGCACCTCAGCTGCGCCGTGGCTGCTAACAGGACAGGGGGTGGTCGGCCGGTAGGTACCTAACTGTAAGTAGGAAGTACCCCGCTCAAGCCACAATCGAGATCTTTATCGCGTATCGATAAGAGGCATCAGCCACCTTTCTCCACGCGATACGGATACCAATTAATCAATTAGACCTTGTTGGACCTTGCTGAGCGCGTTGAGTGGGAGGGTCCCTGGCGCCCCCTCTGGGAAATGCCTGTCGCGTCTTGCGATCCGACGCGCGAGTTCCTCCTTCAAATCCCACATCATTGATACCCACGATACATTACCGAAACCGCCATCTTCCTCTTCTACGTGTACTTGCACGTGCGCCACACTGACACGCCCAGCCGTCTGATTGATCCGCCGACGACACCTTTCAAGCACCTCCTCCTCACCCTATAATCCGACTAAGATGCCGGCGAGAGTGGGTGGCTCGTCGTCGTCTTCCTCCGGATCCTCGAGTGAAGATGATGCGCGGGGCCCCGCGCGTGGTCAACTCGCTCACAGAGACAAAGGAAAGGGTCGTGATATTTCCGTTGGGAAGAGGAAGCGCGCAGATACAGCAAATGGAGTCCACCCCGCCCGCCGGAGAGCGACCCGCTCCGTCGAGAGAGGCGAGGACCACGACTCGGATGTCTACGACCCTGACCAGCCGATGGAGGAGCGCCGAGAAATCCAGCGCAAGCTGCGAGACCTTCAGAAAGGCATCGCGGAGAATATGGAGGAGTACATGCTGCCGGGCTCAACGGGACTCAAAGACACATTGATGATGGCCCAGCAAGTCGCCAGAGGTGTCAAGCAAACCACAGAAGCAACCATCGATTCCCGCCTGCTTGTCAGCGCCGTCGACCTGTCATACCGAAAGACTGTTCGCTTGATGCAAGGAAGCTCAACCGAGGGCGTGGACGTGGACGAGTTCGTTTCCAAGTGCTGCACTTACATGCGGCAAGCCGGTGGGATCGCCGACGATGCAGCGCCAGAGCTCTCAAGCACCCAAAGACGGCGACGCCGCACCCGAGGCGGTTCGCACGACGACGAGGACGAGGGAAGCGACGAAGCATTCAACTGGGCCCATCTCGGACGTTTCGCCTCGCTGCCCAACATCCGCCGCCCTGCCCTGCCTGGTTTCCTTCTCGGCCCTCTGTCCGTTGAGAAGAAGGTCCGGAAGATTGCGAAGCGAAGCGCACCGTTCAGACCAAACAACCTCGCCGAAACGAGGCCCGAGGTGCTGAATGTTGAGGACTTGGCGAAAAAGGAGAACGATCTTACCGCCATCTGCGGTAAGATTCTGAAGCAGCTGCAGAGCGTCCAAGGCGATATCCAGACGAAGCTCTATGACATTTTTGACAAAAACGACATGAGCGAAGAAGAACAGATTGCGCTCATGCAGAAGCACGGCCTTCGCGATACCGGAGGCGTTGACCTGCTTCGCTTCGTCGTCAATCCCAAATCCTTCGGCCAGACGGTCGAGAACATGTTCTACGTCAGTTTCCTCATCCGCGACGGAAAGGTCAAGATTGAATTCGACAGCGACGAGTATCCGTCTCTCAGTAAGCCAGTCCCCGAAGACCCTGCCAATATGAGTCTGCTAACCAACGAAACCAGGCCCCTTTCAACCCGACGACGTAGATGAAGATGGCACAGCCGGGCGCGCAGCAGTGAAGCGCGAAACGGCTAAGCAGCAGGCCATCTTCTCCATGGATATGCAAACTTGGCAAGACATCATCGATACCTTCGACATTCAGGAGCCCATGATCACACATCGCAAAGAAGGGGGATCAACACAAGCCCCTGGTGCCAGAGGATGGTACAGCTGATAATGGGCATGGCAGCAAACATGGCGTTTTGGCAATAAATTCTCAGTCCATCGTCACCTAGTGCTGAATGACGCAAAGAATACCTGGTTGGCGGATTATGATGGCGTATATCTGGATGAGCTTTACTTAGTAGCTTTCCTTCTTTTTTTTTTCCTCCCCAAGGCGTTTCTTAGAGGAGCGGGAATAGTCAGGGCTTGAGACCCGACCAATGGATTTGAAGGGCGATTGGTGTCCCTTGCAGATACCCTTCACGATCCCTAGCTTCTTTACACTCGGCGTTTGCGCAAGTCTCCTACACCTACTGGCGACCCATTAAACGATTTTCCATGACTCCATTGAATGGGACGAAAACAAAGGTGACCCTAAGAGGCAAGCTGGGTAGGTCCATTCATGACGGATAAGAATTGCAGGGTTTGTGGGCAATCATCATCGGGCATTGCCAAGTCTTTTACCGGCGCCTGAATTCATTGTTTGACCTCCTGGTAACAAACAGCGCTCCTTTTCCGGCGCGAATGCTCGCCTTTCCAAGTAGTACTTTGTATCTCAAAGCTCAAAAGGACCATCCAACGTTCGGCAATTCAACGGCCCCAGTGGCCACAACAATGGCACATGCAGACACGCAAACGGCGCAGTTGCAATATCCGTCGGGGCCCGAAGTATGGACTTGCTGCTTCAAAGACTTTCAGGCGTTTTAACCGTACAATATTGTGCGTAGTAGTCTGAAAGAGGTTCTGGGAAGTTTGCTTCACACAATTCCCAGCTTCGCATCGCCGGATCAAGCCCTCAGAGTCGTGGACTTGCGCCATCTCATAAGTATGGCATTGCTCAAGAATCAAAGCCCTTGATCATCTTTCTCCGTCTTGCACCAGTTTCATACCATTCTCCTGCTTTCTTTCTCTCGACATTTCTCAAAAGCGGGAGTGTCAGATAGCCCATACAGGACAAAAGTTTGTCAGAGGAACACAAGAGGTTGTGAGTCCACCCTACCGAGAGACACTGACAAAGACGGCAATATGGCCGGAGACCCAGACGGGGACGCCTCGAGTAGGGACCTTTCCCCAGGCCGAACCGGCTCCCGGGCAGCATCTTCTTCCGCAAACCAACCCCAAGAAGGCCACCAACGTGGCCAGCCCATCCCACAGCAGAGCCCCTTGGCGGTACCGGCACATGAGTCGAAAGAAGCACGAAACGCCACCGATAGCGTGCCACCTCCGCCGCCAGAGAATACCAGGGGCACCAAAACGATCACATGGGCAAAGGTAGCTGCTCATGGTGCAGCGGCCAAGGCCTTGTCAGCTGGAGATACGTCTCAAAGCAACACTCCGTCACGGGCTGCGAATCCGACAGCTATGCGACAGTCATCGCCTCGCCGAGTTGCGCCGCCAGCACCTGCGCAGACCGACGAGATTCTTGAGCAAGATACAACATCCATGCCACCATCCCAAGACCCGAGCGTCTCAGGGCGGGGAGGCTCCGGTCCTCGGGACAACGTCACTTCTTCTTCGCCGCAATCCGACTCCTCGACAACTGAGGCCGACTCAAGAACAAGACACGCAGCAGAACAGGGGCGGCTTCAGGAAATGAAGAGCTACCTAAGAGAGCTCACGGAAGCATACGACCTTCCCCCTGCACTCATGGAGCATCCGTCAGATGAAGAATCCGAGACAAAACTCAAGACCGTCGACGCACTCTTCAAGGACTTTGCTTCGAGGTTGGCCAAGGAGTGCCGTGACAAAGAAAACAATCTGCAAAGTACGCAGGCCAAACTTGACACGTCAACATCGGCACAAGCGACGCTCGAAAGGGAGAAGTTTGCCCTGGAAGAGGCCACCAAGACGAAGGACGCCAAGTTGGAAGAGCTCGAATCCATCGCCAAACAGGCGCACGAGTCCGACATCGAAGATCTCAGAGCCCGAGTCGAGAGCTGCGCGATTGAGCGAGATGAGGCGACCTCGGAGCTGAGAGAACTTCGACAGAAGTTGGAAGCAGCTGAGAGCGAACGCAACGAAAAAGAAATATCGATGCAGAAGCTCAACTTCGCGTTGGAGGAAGCCCGGCAGAGCAACCGTCAGGCTGCCCCATTTGTCGACGTGGAAACGTTGAGAACCACGATCTCCGATCTGCACGAGGAGCTGAGAGATTTGAACAGAGACAAAGCAGACCTAGAGAGGCAGGCTGAAATGATGATAGCATCTCGAAAACAAAAGGACGACGAAAACACCGCACAGATGAGGCATCAAGATGAATACCTCCTTAGAATGCAAGACGAGAACGAGAAGTACAAGAGGCTCATCGAAGCGCTCCGACATGAGAAGGAGGAGCAGCTGCGAAAGGCCGCCGAGGCCGAAGCGGAACGACAGCCCGTCACCTTCCGGGTAGACAACGAAATCATGCCGCGAGACAAGTACGAAAAGCTTCTCGATAACGCGAGAGGCGACATGGAAAAGATGCGAGAGCAAATACAACAGGCCGAGGAGGAACGCGACAGGGCTATAGAGGATTTTGAAGGGGCTCGAAAGATGTTCATGGAGGAGTTCATGCCCCTTTACGCCCTCGCCGTGGACGAGGCCGCCCACAACATGTTCAACATCTGGGAGGCCGAGGAGGCCAGTCTCAAGGCCCTGGTTGGAGAAGGCGAGTACCGCAGATACCTCCGCGCCGTAGTCGAGCCCGACCGCCAGCCATCTCAGACATCATCAGAAGGGTTCGTCGCGCGAGGGGAGGCGGCCGCCGGCCTCGGGCTGGACGGGTCGCAGGCGTCGGAGCCCACGAGCCCGCCTGTGGGACAGAATCTCGCAGGCGAGTTCCGTGAACTCGACAGGGAATCCTCCATAGTAAGTTCAGCCGTTCTTGCCCCTGTTTGGGTCTGTTGCTGATGAAGATTAAGGCTTCCGAATGCACTCTGATGGGCCGGGGAGACGGTTCTGCGGAGCTTGCCCAGTTGCTGGACGAGTGCCAGATCCGTCGCGATGAAGCGGAGCGGAGAGTCGAGGAATTGGAAGGCGAGACGAAGAAGCATCAGGACGAACTTGAAGCGTTGCAAGACGAGATTCGGACGCTGACGAAGGCCGCCGAGGTCGTCGAGCCCAGCGTAGACGGTTCGGCTGAGCTGCAGAAGGCGCTAGACAAGTGCCAACTTTGCCGCAAGGAAGCAGACCAGAGACTCCAAGAATTGGAGGGAGAGACGAAGAAGCAGAAGGACGAAATTGACGAGCTGCAAGGCGAGATCCAGAAACTGAAGGAAGCCGCTGAGACCAGCAGAGAAGGTTCTGCCAAGCTTGGCGAGACGCTGAAAGAGTGCCAAAGACAACGCAACGAAGCCGACATGAGACTCAAAGAACTGGAGGGAGAGACGCAGAAGCAGAAGGACAGAATCGAAGAGTTACAAGACGAAATCCACAAACTGAAGGAGGCCGCCGACACCGCCGAGACCAGCAGAGGCTCCGGCGAGGAACCCGACGCATCAGAGTGCAGGGCTCAGACACCAACGCAAGACGCCGCCAAGCGAGACGAACAGCGACTTCAGGGCGCCTCAGCAGTCGAGCCGGTAGACATGCAAGCCGACCTTGAGGAACGCCGGGCTCACCGGCAGCAGGCGGACATGGAGATTGAGGCGTTGAAAAGAGAGGCGAGGCGACGCTCAAGGGAGCTCAGAAAGGTGAAAGACGAGCTGTCATTGCAACAAAGGATTGACGAGCTTCTCAAGGAAAGGCTTCAAGCAGTCCAGGCAAAGGCCAGCAAAGTGGGAGCAAAAGTCAAATGGGCCGAAACAAGAGTCATACTGCAGGGAGAAGGCGCAGGCGATGAGGGGGCGATTTCCAGCTCTACCAACGACTCGCAAGGCTATCTGAAGCTCGTTTCCACATTGTCGCAACGCGTCGAAGAAGCCGAAAGTCAGTTTGGCAGAACACACCAACAGCTGGCAGATGTCCGGACCACGGCCACCATTCTTCAAGCGATCATCGAGCAGCTTGAATCACAACGAAGCCAGCTGGAGCAAGAGAGGCGGCAGCTCTGGGAGGACTTGAAGGCCCGTCGGCACTCAGGAGAGGGGATCGGACAAGCAAGCGCCGCTTTGGAAGAGGGGCTCGAGAACAACGAAGAGCTAGGAGAGATGGACGGCGACATGGAGGAGATGAACGAAGTGATCCGGAAAACAAAAGAGGAGCTCGAGAAGAAGAACGAAGAGTTCCAGGAGAAGAGAAAAGCACTCGACGACTGCCGCGCCCACGACAAGGAACTCATGGCGGAGCTTGCCGCATTGAGGGAACGCCGGGATGGCGAAAGCGATGGTGACGACAGCCAGGACGAAGACCTCCACAAAGAAATCGACAGGCTCGAGGAGAAGGTTGCCGACCTGCAGCGGCAACTGAGCGCGGCCAAGTACAGCGCCAGCAAAGAAGCGGCAAGGCGCCGCGAGGTAGAATACCGCGGGGTCTGGGAAGGCACCCGCGCGGCCGCGCTGAGGTCCAAACAGACCGAGCTGGACAACTTGAAGAAGGAATACGACGATGCCATGGAGACTTTTAGGTGGGAGGCTGAGGATATCACGACGCGTCTCGATAACCGCATGGACGAGCTGAAACGCTTCAGACTCTGGCACCAACATACCGTCAACGAACTCGAGGCCCGGCTCAGAACGGCGGAAGAAGAGGGTCGCGGCCACGCGTCCGAATTAGCGAGGATCAAGCTCGAGCACACAAAGGCTATGGACGAACTCAAGGCCCAGCTCGGCGCTTCGGATACGATGGTGGCATCGCTCCAGGATCAGCTGTACGACGTCCCGCACACTGAGGCGCTCCTAAGGATGAGACCCTGCGATGCAGTCACGCAGACAGCCGGGGGGCCATACGCCGAGGACATGACGCCGGTGGCCCAAGTGCCCCATGGCCCGACGGGGGCATACTTGAAGGCATATTTCACGTTCAAGCAAAGCATAGAATCGGGTCTGCGCTTGCAGGACACCGCGACCGCGTTGCAGGACTATCAGCTTCGTATCGTCGAGAAACTAGACCAGGAGCTTGCTCGCCGCATCAGCCTTTCGCGGATCGCAAGGGCCTCGGAAACCCCGACGCCCAACCGCCCCGAGACGCCCGACAGCTCGACGGATGACGCGTCGCATTCATCTCCTCCAGGCGATCAGGTGCCCGATTCGCCCACCACCGAGTCCTCCTCCGACGAGGAGGATGAGCGCGCCGCGACCTTGCGCGGCATCAGGGAGACGTGCGAGGAGTTTGAGGTGCTGAGACGGCGGAAGCAGCGGTCCCGGGACGACGAGGTTTCCGCCATCCAACTGGTATGCGCACTCGAGGCCGAGATCGAGGCCCTCAAAAAGAGGCTCAACGAAGCGGACGATGCCGACGAGAAGACGGCCGAGCCGGACAACAACGGCGGTGAGGAACCCAGCGATGAGGAATCCGACAACGGCGAAAAAGACGCAAAGGACCCCGCCGCAATCCGCAGGCGGATCGCCAGGCTCAGGAAGAAGGTCAGCAAGACACAGACGAACCTGCAGAAGGACGAAGAGGCCCTCCGGAGTGCCATCGACGAGCACGAGGAGGACTTGGCCGAGTGGATCGACAACCTAGACGACCTCGATGACGACCCTGAGCGGACCCTCTACCGCTACCTTGCAAACGGGGCATGGCAGACGGCAAAAGCCGGCTACTGGAAGGGATCGACTTGGGTACGCCCGCTGCCGCTGCCGTCTATGAAGGTGATCAAGGCGCTATTGGGAGGGCCTGGCGGCGGCAATCCTGACGACGACCGCGATACCGGCGACGGCGAGGGCTCCGTCGGCTCCGACAGCACCATCGGGGGCGGACGGCGGTGCGCCTGTCCCTGCGTCGGGCTCTGCGACGCCTCGGAGAACCCCACCTTCGACGGCCTCCCCACCGGCGCCCAGGACGTCGTCCGGAACGTGAGGAGGGTGTACAGGAAGTACCACTCGTGCTGCGGGAAGGGCGGCGGCGGGGCCGGCGCCAGCAGCGAGACGGCGGCGGGAGAGCCGGGCGACGAGGACGAGGACGACGGGCTCCTGCTCTGGCGGCTGCTGGGGGTCATGCGGGGCGACGCGGACATCCGGGAGCAGATGCGGAACGAGGGGCGGCACTACGCGGCGCGGCTGGGGCTCGCGTTCTGGGCTTGCGCGCGGGTGCACCTGCTGTCGTGGGAGCAGACGGCGGCGTGCGGGCTGCGCGGGCTGGCGTACTACGCGGCCTTCTTCCTGCCGGAGGGGCGGTGGAAGCCCGGGCCGCCGGGGCCGGCGCCGCCGCCGCAGCGGGTGGCCACGGTGGTCAAGGACGCGGGGATGCTGTGCCTGCTGTACTACACGTACCAGGTGCTGGCGGCGACGTGGGCGGTGCAGCGGGTCTGGGAGATGGCCAACGGGTACACGCGGGCGTACTTTGTCGAGCGCGCGCTGCACCCGGAGCGGTCGACGTGGCTCGGGCTCGGCGGGGTGGACATGCGGCTGCGCGGGACGGCTCCGTACAGCGCGGCCGTCGGGGACGGGGAGGAGTGGTGGTGGTGGTAGAGCAGGCCATGAGCGGGGGGTCCCTATGAAGGGGGGGGGGCAACTGGGGGAAGCCTTGACGGGTTGGTTTTGGCAGTTGGTGAGAAGGTTTCCGTCTGATTTTGGAAGAGGGTGTAGCGCGTGTGTGCGTGTGTGTGTGTGCGGACCAGTACAGGGAATCGACTAGTCAGTCAGTGAACTATTTTCCGTTCGGATCGCCAGCCAGGGGTACGTTAGCTTTGCACATTTTCTTCCAACGGTATTTGTCACTTCGTGGTGCTGTGCGTGTCGGGCGAACCCAAAGAATAGAAGGGACCAAGACCAAGTCGTCCTTGACGTGTAATTCTGACAGCCAGCCCGGCGCCGTGATTTGGAATCGAGACCAGCGCCCGGCGCCTCCGTCCCGGGGCCCTGGGAAGGGGTGGGTTTTCCGCGAAAGGCTTAGCGCGGACCGAAAAGACGCGCCCACCCCGGCGTCGTCCAGAAGATTGCCGTTCTCGGCCTAGCCGGTTCGCAGTGCCTCGGTTCCCCCCCCCCCCCCCCCACTGGCGGTCGCCCCATTCGGATTCCAAACTATTCCAACGGATAGACTCGAGTCCCCGGTTCCCGCAAGATTCGGGCAGAGAACTGGATGCTGGGCGGAATCGCAGCGCGCTTTGCGCACGGAGAGAGGGAGGGGGGGGGGCGGGAACCAAGGCAGGGAGGGGCTTGTTGGACGGATTACCAAGACAGGAAGACCCATTTACGGACTCTGCGATCGACCGACCCCGACTGTGCCTCGGCCGCGATGACCTGACGACTGCGGATACTGCCGGCAGGTAAATAGTGTGCTACAGTGTGTGTGTGTGTGTGCTACAGTGAGAGGGAGAGGGAGAGAGAAAGAGAGAGAGAGAGAGAGAGAAAGTGGTATGCAGGTACTTGAGCCCCTAAGGCGCTATGGAATATGTCACTCTGATGCGGTACCCACACCCCCTCGGCTCGTGATGTCATGGCCCCCCCCTGTGCAGACACGACCAACTAACTACTACACTACATCGTACTACTGCCGCGTACCTATTTGATATCAATTCCACATATCAAATACCATATACCACGTGCGAAGAGGCTTCGCGGTCGTCATCAATTCACCCGTTGACCCAGGATAGTCACGCAAAAGGTACTCCGTACCAACCTACAAACACACTTCTAGAACGACCGATTCGTCCAATTCCCCCCCCCCCCCCCCAAAATGGTACGTGCTCTTTTCCGTCACTGACAGTTGCTTTGATCTCCTTCCTACTTCAATTCATCCCAGTCAGGTCAAGTGTCAATGCCTGTCGCATTGCTTCACACATAAAACCCGCCGATGCCCTCCTCCCACACTCTCTGGTCTCGACTCAGTATAAATTAATTGTATACATCGTACGCAACATCAAACCCCCTCATCACCAGTTAACACGCACCTCACACTCACACGTACACATACATCACAGCTTCTAACACTCGCGCCATTCAGAGAGTCTTCAGACACCCGGCCGTATCAGCCCACGCCCGTCGCGCCCTCAACCCCTCCTCGGCCCTCCACCGCAGAGCCTTCACGGCCAGCCACAACCCGTCGTCGCAGGCTCACTCTCGGGGCCAGGAATCGACGGCCGGAGCCTCCTCCTCGTCCTCTCACTCAGACGCAAACACCAACAACGCCTGCCAGACCCCTAACCAGGGCCAGCACGCCACCCTCGACTCTCCCGACCAGCAGCAGCAGCAGCAACCCTCCCGGCCTCACTCCCACAATCCAAAGGACCGGTTCGCGCCCCCGCCCGGCACCATGTCGCAGAAGCTCATCCCCCAGAACCCGGCTGACGTCATGGTCATCCGCGACCTCACCCCCAACATCACCACCTTCTCCGTCCCCTTCTCCCGCTTCGGCGCCGTCAAGATCGGCGGCCGCGGCACCCTCGTCCGCCTGACCTCGGGCCGCCTCGCCATCTTCTCCCCCGTCGCCCTCACCGACGACGTCCGCGCCAAGATCGCCGACAAGGGCGGCGACCTCGCCTACATCGTCGCCCCCGACGCCGAGCACCACATCTTCCTCTCCGAGTACAAGGCCGCCTTCCCCGCCGCCAAGCTCGTCGGCCCCGACGGCCTGCCCCAGAAGCGCGCCAAGCAGACGGGCGACCCCAAGATCGACCCGGCCGACGAGTTCGCCGTCGTCTTCAAGCCCGCCGACAAGCCCGCCGTCGGCCCCGACTTCGACGCCGACTTCGAGTGCGAGTACGTCGACTCCCATCCCAACAAGGAGATCGCCTTCTTCTACCGGCCCGACCGCCTCCTGATCCAGGCCGACCTCCTCTTCAACCTGCCCCCCACCGAACAGTACTCCCGCGTCCCCGAGGCCGAGAGGGACACCTCCTCCGGCCTCGCCAACCGCCTCTTTGGCGGCATGCAGACCACCCAGGGCGACCTCAGGTGGACCAGGCGCTTCCAGTGGTACGTCATCAGCAGCAAGGACCGCGCCGCCTTCAACGAGAGCATCCGCCGCATCGACGCCTGGGACTTTGACACCATCGTCCCCTGCCACGGCGACGTCATCCAGGGCGACGGCAAGGAGAGGTTCAGGAACGTCTTTGAGTGGCACTTGGCCGGTCACAAGAAGTAGGAAGGGCACCGCGTGTTGATGATGATTCTCGTGGTTTGCATGATGGCGCTTGCGGGGTTTTTTTTTCGGTTTTTTTTTTCGGGGGGTTTTTTTTTTTCGTTTTTCTTTTCCCCCCATATCTTGATACCAAATGTAGAATGTAATTATACGCCAATCATCGCGCTCTTTGTCTGCTCGTGAAATGTTGTCAGACGTCATCACGTGTTCGAAAACGTCCACTTTTCTCAAGGGCAGGAGGAGCACTTCACACTCGACAACGTCCAGAGTCAGAGCAGGTTCGTGTGGATTAGAATCGTCCGGTGTGTATCGGAGGACATGTATCGCTAATATTAGCCCGACCTCCCTCCTCCCCCCCCAACGTCAACATCCAAACAAACGCCACTATCCCAGAAACCGAACCAGGGGGTATACCCCATTCCATGGCGAAGTGGTTCGCTGAATGATCCACCACCATACTTTGATAGGCCTCCCCCAGCTCCTCAGAAGTGTCCGAGATGAGAACAAACCTCGAGTAGGATATCCCGGTGAGGATCCGAAGCTAGAAAGCTACCCGCGTCAGCGACTTTCCGCACTTGGTTTCAAGAGTAACGTACCTATATCGGGCTTTACATGCACTCGGTGATTACCTCTGTGATGATATCCCATCCCCTGTATTTTTCGAGTCCAGAACCAAAAGTCTCGATCGACTCACATGCATCGAAGATGGACCCCCTTTTTTTCATATAGTGATGAGAGAATAAGAGCATTTTGTGCATCAGCTCGGTGTACTTAGTGAGGGGTGCGAGAGCGGTTGTCGCACAATCACTCTTTGCAAAAACAACCCACGTGGCGACTGCAAACATAAAACCAACGTCAGACTTGGCACAGGCTGGGTGAGAGAACACCATGTCTCGAAGACTTTCATCAACTGCGGCCTTCATGTTTTCGTAGCTCTGAAGATGGTTGATCAAGCGGTCCTCAAGCTCTTGCATAGCTTGTGTCGCCTGCAAACGCTCGGCCAAGATCCAAACGCTCACGCTGGTCTTCAAATCCGACGAATTAAAGGTGAACTTCCTGTCTTCGTTGTAGAAGAATTCGACGAGGTGCTTCATCACCTCCGGGTCGATGTCGTCAAAGGTGACGACACCTTCCTGTGCTTCCTGTGGGTGGTTGGTCGTCAGCTGCCATCTCGCTCGAGCACCAAGCAAGCTTCAATCCGATTGCTTGACTAGGACAGTGGTAGCTACCTTCATGTTTCTTTTAAATAAGGCAGCAAAGTATCCCGACTGAGCGCCGAGGATAATCTTGTGAACACGAATCTCCGTGCTCTGGCAGATTATGGTAAAGTCGCTGAACAAGCCTGCCTTAAGCAGCCGCTGGAAGTCGAGTATGGGGTCCATCTTCGGAAATCTCCCGGGTGTCTTGATTACCGTGTAGGTTTTTTTCTAGTGGATGAAAATGAGATGGGATAGTTTGAGGATGAGGATGAGGCCAGAGTCTCTCAATATCTTGAGTGAAACTTGAGAAATCCAGCGTTGAGGGGACAAAGGTTGTGCTGCTCGAGGCACTTGTGGCTCCAGTAAGTGAAAAATGAAGGTGCAAGTTGAACAGGGGACGAGCGTAAGGAACTATATACCTTTGAGAAGTGAAAAGGCTGGAGAAGAAGGTGCGTCTAGCAGGAGGAAGTTGGGTGGCTCCTTCCTGCATTCCCACCTTCCACTTCCCGGTCAGGTCGAGTATCAAAGAGGAAGATGCTCTTTCCTTCTCAAAGGTTCTCGTTGGAAAAAGGTGAAAGAGCAGTTCTGGCTGATTTCTCGGACCCCTTGAATAGTTTAAATTTCTTTCTTTCACTCTGGTGGTACTATGTTCAATATTTACTTTACTCGTTAATTACTAGAGTATACAGGATCTGCCAGCAACTTCTTCACGTTGCAGGGAGGCACGCCAATATTAGCATATCATGTCGCGCCTTCGAGATCGGGATCCAAAGGTATATTTCTACTCAAATCTTCTTCTGTGCGAGAAACGCCAACACAAAGAGCGTAACAGACTGAGAGGTTCGTTCCCGTTTGAAGACAACAGCCACCCACGATACTCCCGAGGCAACGCCGATGAAGAGTCCAAGGGCAGGAGTAGTCTGCCGACGGAAACGTGGACATCTACTTGGCTCCCGGCGTCGGTGGCAGTTATCGTCGGCCTGGGCCATAATTGTTGTGGTTGGCGGCTTTATGGCTCGCTACCTAGGCCGGCATCAGACTTGCAGCGGCAGCAGTAGCAGACCGCGTACGTAGCTTCATGGCGGCAGCTGTGAGCTTTGCGGACGTGATTACTATAAAACTACCGCTGCCACTACCATCACCACCACCATCATAACTGCCCCGGTAGATGGCGGCAACAATGCCGAGGAGGAGAAGGGAGGGCCCAGCCCTCCTCCGGGCATCAGTGTGGCCTGACGGCTAAATAGGCCTGATGTGGTGATATTCAAACGCCGGCAGTCCACTACTCTTAGGTGTGGGAACGCAAGACATGCTCCTTACAGGCGGGCCCCTCGGGTCTTCACACAAGTCCTCGTCTCACCAGGGCTCTGGCATGACTGGGTGGGGGATACAACACATCAACACGCATAACCTCGAACTTCAATACACAGCAGATTCACGCCACTGCCATTCACAAGGCCATCCGTCGTCGGTAGCCATCTCGGTCTCAATCTTCAAAACGCTCATGCAATTACGAAGAAGTCGGATCCAATCCAGCCCGCCCCGCGCACCCCGTGTGCAAACCTCGGACCTCAAAGCTCCAACGACGACGATGCACAAGCAAACTCGTCACGCTATGCTCTTCTCCTTCTTTCACCTCACAATCGCGCAACGCCACCGCGTCTATGTATGGGAACAGCTTGCTTCGAATTTGTTCTCGGCCGCCTCTGTCGCTCTCATCTCATTCTTGTCTCGTCCCGGCCTCCTCCCACCCCGCCTCGGCCCCTCGTCCGCTCCTCTGCCGCGACCCAACCCTTGGATAAGAATGAGGCTCTGTACTAACCCGGCGAAAAACCCTCATCCAAATAGACACAAGAATGCAAAACAGAACCGTACGTCTGTGACAAAAAAAGGTTGCCTTTGCCTGCTCTAGAAGAGACATCCCCTCCCAAATCATTGCCCCTTGGGTCTGGCGCGCGTCAGCCGGTACACGGCCCTCGTCGCCGTAGAAATGCTGCCAGCGACAAGCCTGCAAAAGAAGTTGAGTCAAATCACTCTGGTATCGATCTTTAATCAAACATGGTTTCCCCCGAGGAACAGGCAAGATGCTATAGTAACGCAGATGCCAATCAGGGAATTTCCGATCTCCTATTGCTCTTCCAAAAGTCGATGGCTTCGACAACGTCCTCGCCCTTTTCGTCTTCGTACGCGAAAATGATCTAGTGAGTGTGAGCGGGGGACATTGTACCCAAGAGCCAGCAGACGATCCTACCTCGTGCGTACTGCTGTGCAGCATCCGAATGTTCTTGTGCGGCACAATGTGCACGGCGCCATTCTCGATGTTTCTGAGCTCGATAAAGTTTTGCTCAAATGCCAGAATCCACGGGTAGCTGAGGGCGAAGCTCTGTGGCGTCCCCTCCCAGTCGATACGCCACTCCGGCCTCGCCCGCCAACCGTTGCGGTTGACAAAGAAGGAGAACTCGGAGTAGTTGAGCAAGAACTCGCCGTTGAGGCGCTCAATGTGAATCGGCTTGACGTTCTCCTTCCGTGCGACAAAGTCGAGGCTCGTGTCGGCCTGGTCAAGCAACGACTGGGTCTCGAGCGTCTCGAGCGACACAACCTCGAAACCGCGGGCACACGCCACACACAATTTGGACTTGAGGAAGTGCACCGACGACGATTCCGTGGGGATGTAGAACTCCTTGAACGGCTTGAGCTCGTCCTGCCCGGCAAACATCTTGCCAAAGCCCTTTTGCTTCTTCCCCTTGGACATGGCGTCGTTGGGCTCGTACACCTTGATCGTAGTCGAGAGAGCCGAGGACTTAACGCAGCACACGAGATGCCTGCCCAGGCAGATGCCTGTCTTGAAGAAGTTGCAGTGGCTCTGGATCTTCTTGGGTCGCTTGGAAAGGGCAGGCTCGTTCGGGTCGAGAGCCCCGAGAGGGTACGAGTAGAGGGCCTTGTTGGACAGCACCAGAAGGAGGCCATACTCCTCGAGGACGTCGAGCTGGGTGACGCTCGTCGTCTCGATGACACGCCTCGGTATCGCGTCCCTGCTCTTGCGGTCGGAGAGGTAGATGCCGTTGTCCGTGCCGTACAGCAGCTTGCGTCCACCATCATATGGCGTGACGCAGTTGACCTGGTTGGTGCCGATGAAGAATCCTGCAGAGATGACGCTGGTGTTGAAGAAGTCGGCGCGGGCCCTCAGACGTTGTTGGGCGCTGTCGATGAACTCGAGCCACTTCTTACGTGCAGCCTGGTTTGACGCGTAGAGGGTCAACTCGTACCCGGCCTTGCCCAAATGCCTGAACGTGATTGGCCAGCCTTCGCCCTTCTTGCTGTCGTTCGTGTTGTTCCGCAGTTGGGGGATCAGGCTCGACGACGATCGCTTCATGGCACCGGAGTCGGGGATGACCTCCTCCATCTCCCGAATGGCGAGCAACTCCAGGGGAATCGGTCGCCGGTAGGCTTTGATTTCCTCGCCCTTGCCGACTTGTTTGATTCTCACAAGCAGGACCGCGTGGTCGAACAAGAAGGCAGTGATCTCGGAAGCGTCCTGCGGTGTCTTCTTCAGCTGGCTCTTGAACACCAATTCTCTGCCCTCCTCCGTCAACCGCAGGTCGACTCTTTCGTTCGGCCGGAAGCGCAGTTGCTCGTGCAAGCGCCTCAGGTTGAATCTGTTCTCGGCCTTTCCGGACTCGGCGTTGACCCTGGTCAGCAGGTCGCGGATCAACTTGAGCACCTTCGGGATGTCTTCCTTATCCGAGTTGCCGTCCTCGGTGTACTTGAGGACGTTCTCGAGCAACAGCGGGTAACGGGCCAATCGTGTTGTCGGCTTGGTGAGGTAACCGTTGAGCTCCAGCTTGCGAGACTCTTTCCTGCGTTCGATCTCGTCCACAAACTTGGCAAAGTACGGATTGGCCGAGCGCTCGTTCTCGAACTCAAACTTGGCCTCCAGCTGCTTGGATCCGTACATGATGAACGGCTCGAACTGAGGCACCCACTCGGCGAAGATGTCACCAATGTTGCCGACAACCGGGTTCTTCTGTTGCCGCTCCGTCAACGACTTGGCGAACCGCGAGCTCACCGCGTGAAGACTCGGGTGATCCACAATGTTGCTGAAGATCGACTTGACGACCTTCTCCCTCCGATTCGCAGGGATGGGAGAAGCCTTGGACCGCAAGGGCAGGATCCAGAAGTCGCGAAGGTATTCCAAATCCTTGACGAAATCTCTTTCCGTGTAGCAGATCTCCGATATGACTTCCTGTCTCTTCTTCTCCTTGTCGCCGACGCTGTCGGCCACTTCCCTCGGCACCGAGTTTATCCACAGCTTCTGCTCGTCCGTCTGGTCGACGTCGTCCTCGTTCGCGGCGTGGTCGGATTCCTTCTTCAAGCCAGGCTGGATCTTCAGGTTCAGTCGAGACACCTGCTCCAGTCTGCGAGGGCAGGCGATGGAGTAGCAAAGCTGGTCTCTCGTGCACGTTGGGGAGTAGCATTCGGAAAGGAGGACGAAAACGCCGTTGACGGGGGGCTTCTCTTCGGGTTCTTCCATCAGTGTTTCTCGGAACTGGTACATCTCCGACGTCGAATCTCGCAGGCGGTGCTCGTATGTCACATCGTGAAAGAACTTTTGCGCATCGAGTGCTCGTCCCAGCAACAGCGCCAGGTTCCGGTCAGTCGTTCTGATAATGTACGACAAAACATCCACGGCCTCGGCGCCGCTGAAGGCGTTCTTGTACGTGAGCTCGTTCTTCGTCCGGTCGCCGGTGATGATCTTTTGTCGGAAGCAGTCGGCAACCCTCGACAACAACGCGGGGTATACCAGGGGAGGTCGGATCTTGCCAGTCGGCGGCCGCTCACCTTCCACGGACTTGCTCATGGAAGGCCTATGTGCCAGTGTCGCAGAGTCGCTATCCGAAGGTGTTATCGTAGGCGCCACTGTAGACGCCATCGACATTGTCCTTTGGTTGACGGAATCGCCGTTCGAGGAAGCCATGCTGGTCGTCCTCGTCTGAGACCCGGGCGCGGGCGTGTAGCCTCCCCCAAAGCTGCCGCCGGTGTTGGGCAGCTCCACCGGTGCCCTTCTGTTCGGGATGACCCGCCCGCTCATGGTCTGGTGCGAGTTTTGGTATTGATGCATATCGCGGTCATGGGAGGGATAGCCGGTCATGGACATGGCCCGATCATCGTGACGTTCCGGCACGACCCTTCCTTGAGCCGTCGTTCGAGACGAACTCGGGTTGTACGGGGGTTGGCGGAAAGCGTTAGCCGGGGCTTGTTGATTCGGCAGGGAGCCGTAGGCGCTCGGAGGAGGCTGGTACATGTTCGGCCTCGGGGCGGAGGCGAGAGACTGCGATCGGTAGGGATCGCTGTTCAAAGCCGGCGCCGGGCCTCCTCCTCCCTGGTAGTATCTCTGCGTTGCGGTTCTTGGCGGACCGTACTGCCCCTGGGGCGGGTGCGGCGGGCCTCTAACATCGCCGCGCTGAGGGATGGGTCCGGCAGGCCCTCCGTATGGGCGGCGAGCCTGTTGTTGCTGGTGCATGTAGTGTGCTTGAGGATTGGGGACTTGGTAACCGCCGGATGCCGATCTCTGCTGTGCCGCGTACCCGTTGGGCTGTACGGAAGCACCTCTCGGAGAGCCCGGCTCGCGATCCATGTACTGGCCCGGAGGCACTCTCGGGGGTGGTTGGCGCTGCATAGACGACACGGTCGATGAGGACATTGTCTGCGTCCTGCCCTGTTGCGGCATCATCTGAGGAGGCATCGAGGAGGAGGTCATTGTTTGGGAACGTCCCGGCGGGGGGGCGGCGCCGAAAATGTTGGAGAAGGCAGCATCGCGCTGGTAGTTGGACGAATGACCTCTCGGGTCGCCGTGATATTCGGCCATGATTTGGGTTGATGGAGCTGGTAGCCGGTAGTGAGGGCCCTTATCAGCTTTTGGTCGTGTGTGTTGGCGGGTTGGTTTAAGGGGAGAGAGAGAGAGAGAGAGAGATGGCGAGTGTGCCAAGTGGAGAAAAATGTGGTACAAGAGAGTCGAAAGAGAGGTGCGGTACTAACAACGCGAGGCCTAACGGCCGCCGGCTACGGTGAGGAGGCACAGGACCGCCCACGCCGCTCAAAGGGCACAATTGAGTGTTTGCAAAACGAGGCCGCGGCGACAATCGTCAACGGATCGTAGAGGCAGGCGGTGGCCGGCGACGAGGGTGGATTTTTTTTCTCCGTGGTGGTTGCTTTCCGTTTCGCCTTTGTTCTATTCCCCGTCTCCTTTCCACAATGGGTTGGGTGACGTTATGGGCCTCTCTGGCTTGACTTGACTTGACGCACAGGGCCCTGACCCGGGCCGGCACGAGGCGTTGAAGGGGTGGAGAGGAGAGGAGAGAAAGGAGGGAAAATAGACCAAGCCGGGCAACACCCGATGGAATTGTTTTCTTTTTCTTTTTCCTCTTGTCTTTTTTTTAACGGGTTTCCGAGGTGCCGCGAAAGGAGGGTCGGGGGGGGCGGGAGAGAGCAGCGTAGCGCGGGATGTGCGGCGTGGATAGCAAATGCTGAGTAACGTGGTTGCTGGCCGAGATGGCAATGCTGGGGACAAAAAGTGATGGTTCGAGGTGGATGTAGTGGTGGAAAAAGGGTGTCTGTCGGTGGTCCCGTTGGTCGACGGCGGTGCTAAGTCATTGGCATTGGGCTAGCTAGGATGGACCCCCAGAAACGAACAACCGAGTTGGACTGGACTGGACTGGACTGGGCCAACTCAACTCAACCGGGACCGAGATGGGAAACCTGGGATGTCACAGGCGTCGAAAGCCGGGGATAACATACGCAGTATCCGTACCCTACTAGCTATGTAGGTCTGACGGGACGAGGAGCAGGTTGGACCGCCAGTCCGGGATGACGGGATGCCGCTGTGAGGGGCCAACCACCTCACTTATCCTTCTCTGGGGGGTTCTTAGGGCTGGTGTTCGTACACTCACCACCTGAACTACCTACTCGCGTAGTAAATAGGTACAGGAGTAGGTATTACCCAGGTATGTGAGATACCTCGGAAAGGAAAGCAGGCAGGGACAGATACGGCGGCGCCTTACTCGGATCTGACGGATGCGCGTTTTCTTCCAAAAAAAAAAAAAAAAAAAAGTGCAACGTGCAACTTGAATGCAATGTAATCCCAATGCCTCCTTCCTCCTCCTCTTCCTCCCTCCCTCGCTGTCTTCCTCGCTTCACACTTGGCCTGAGGGTGCGACAAGCCAAGGAAGTCGAGTCACGGCACAGCATAGTCGGCCACGGTCTGGTGCAAGCCGAGTCGAATCGTCTGCGTGTGCCACTCACCACCCAAATGCATCGCCGTCAATCAGACGCCAGTCAAGTCAATGTGAAAAAAAGAAAAGAAAAAGAAAGAAAAAGAAAAAAGACTATGACGAACCCCCAAAAAGTGCAAGTTCGTCCATCTACAGAGGCGCTAGGACTTCCAAGGTCGGGACTTGGCCCGATCTACCGTTTCCCCCCCCTAACGGCGTGAGGAAGTTGCGGCGCACTGCTTCAATATTAGAAGACGCCCGCTTGAGTGGCCTGCGCATTCCTCGGACATGATTAGGAGCCGTCGAGTCCTAAGAATATACCAGTGTCTAACTTGTAGCGCTGCTGGCATCTGCAGTGCCTCTTTTTCATGCAGACCCTCTGTGCAGGAGACTGACTACCTAGGAACCGTCGTGCGTGAGCGTGGGCAGCGTAACTACTAGGAGAGAAATGGGTCTTTCTCTGCATGCTGGCTGACGCGTAACCGCACACAAGTAATCTGAGGCCCCGGTCTTTCTTTACCCGTCGTCGTCGTCCTCGTCGTCCTCCTCCTCCGCCGGGCTGTTTCCAAAGCGCCGTGTTTCGAGGCAACTCGGATCCCCTCCAGTCGGGGTTCGGCGCAGTGTTCGGGGTAAGTGAGGCTTTGACGAAGCTTCCCGTCTCACAAGCCGTTATTGTCCAACCAGGGGTGCCATCTCCCCCTGGCTTTAGGAGGCGCAACAAAAAGCCAAATCTGAACCATTGCGCCTAGGCTCGTTCCTTTCCCCATTTGGGCAAAGACGAGAAACAACGGCCAAAGCACTCGAGATAACACGCGACTACAGTTGGGTTGGCGGGACGGGATTCCATTCGATTCCTCCACATGTGCATGCCGCGATAAGGCCGTGATTTATCCGTATCCGTACCGATAAGAGAATCCAGACCGGACGTGCCATCTGGAGAACGTGGCTGGCCGCTCCACTCGACCCAACCAAACCCAACCACACCCACTCCCAGCCCGCCATTACGACACCAGCCACATTAGCCACACTACCGCTGGAGATGAGGCTAGTGCTTCGGCCCATGGTTCTGCCGCGTCACGAGTTTCTCAGCCTGTCCGGGTTGCAACTTCTGATTGGACCTCGTCGCCGTCACCAAGCTCCAAGGTCCTGGGAAGCCACTCGCCAGTACATTGCGGGATCCTCGAAACGCATATCCCCCTTCCGTCGGCCATCACCACAAACCCTCCGCATCGAGTTCGACTACATCGTTGCCCAACATGGCCGAAGACTCCGTCCTCGCCCCCAAGTTCGCGCCGTTCATCGGAATGGTAAGCTCTTCGCCTCTCCTCCCCGCGCGCCTTGCTGTCTCCTCGTCGTCGACGAAGGAAGCTAGCTAGCTATGACATCGACCACCGAACCTTGTGCTGACGTTGCTCCAACACAGGCCGGCATTGCGGCTGCCATGATCTTCGGATGTACGTTCTGCTACACACACACAGCCCAGCTATCCTGCTCCCGACGCGACGAAGAAAACAGTATGCTAAATAGGACTCGTATCAAATAGGCATCGGCGCCGCATACGGTACCGCAAAGTCTGGAATCGGCATCGCTGGTGTCGGAACATTCAGACCCGACCTCATCATGAAGGCATGCTGCCCCGACGTACCCGCCCGATCAAACAGAGTCCTCTAATGCCTGCTCAGTGTCTGATTCCCGTCGTCATGTCCGGTATCATTGCCGTCTACTCCCTCGTCATATCCGTCCTCATCGCCCAAGATTTGACCCCTCCCGGCGCTGGAAGCAACTACAGCTTGTTCAAGTCAGTTACACCCCGATCAGGGAGATTTCGATATTCCAGAGACTTTTTTTTTTTTTTTTTTTTTTTTTTGCTAACCGATAGACAGCGGCTTTATGCACCTTGCCTGCGGCCTGTCGGTCGGCCTCACCGGCCTCGCGGCTGGCTACACGATCGGCATCGTCGGCGATAAGGGTGTGCGCTCGTACATGGAGCAATCGCGTATCTTTGTCGGCATGGTTCTGATTCTCATTTTTGGCGAGGTCTTGGGTCTCTACGGGTAATGGCGCCCCGTAGCTCTTTGCCGCCATCCGTCCGCTAACCCGTATCCCAGTCTCATTGTCGCCCTTATTCTGAACACCAAGTCCAAGGGCTAAACACCCTCCGTCAGTCCCTCGAATAATCGAAATGGCAATAAAAAATCACACTACAACTTAGCCACGCCCTTCAACGAAACCACTGTACATTAAGCCAGGGAACCGCCGGACGTTGGGCTGGAGAGAAACATGAAAAGAGAGGGTGTATTTGGGTGGTTTCCGGTCCAAACCTGCATATGGCACGGCGTTACATCAGGACCCTCGTGTAGAATTTACGTGTGAGGGGCTAGAAGAGAGTTTACGGGGCGGGGCGGTGGAAGGTATGATAGGCATCCGGGTCCAGTATGTTTGAAATTTGTCGAAAGCAGCTTGTCTCATATCCCCTCTGGCGTGTCCTCGAGGACACCATTTTTCTCTCTTTACCAGCAGCCATGAAGGCCGTTGGCCGTGTTGACCAACGCCAGTGTGACGTCTCGATACCCATCGGCATCGTTGGTGAGCAACGGCTGCATCTTTTTTAGACCCGGGAGATGCACTCCAGAAAACGTCGAAAGGGTGTGCAAAATACGATGCGGTTGGAACGCGTGGGATGGGGCAACAGTTTCCCGGGTCAGAGTGTCGACTTGGCCTCGGAGTTCTGCCCCATCGGACCCTTAACATGCTACTAGACTTCAACAGCAACGTTTTTCGTCAACCGATGTTGGATTGACCCCCTCCCCGCCGGAGATACATGAGAGCAGCCACCCCGGCCAGCCATCCCTTCTCGAAAACCAAGCAGGAACCCTCTCTCGCGCTGGGTCTCGGTGAGCCCTCCGCCCACGCTGACCGGAGCCATCGAGCCGCAGACCTGCGCTGCCCAGCCTCGCAGGACGACGACGAGCGAGCAGCAGAAAGGTCTCCGGCAACGGGATGCGGCATTCGCCTGTCGGGGCTCGGAGGTGTCCATCACCGCGACGCAATGCTTCGGAACAAACCGCCATGGCTCACCGTCCTCCATCCCCGCATGACGACCCGGACATACGGGGTCCCCCCCCTCCTCTCTTCATTGTTTGCCATGCACAGTACAGCGCCGGGCGAGGCCCGGTACGACGATTCCATCACTCCCCCCCCCTCCCTCGACGTCGTGGGATGGGCGGGTTCGAGAAGGGGGATCCTTGGAAATCCTCCTTATCAAAGGGGGCGGGGGTGGGCGGTCCCTACGGCACGGAAAAACAAGGGGAGGATTCCACCGAGGTTTTCCATGTTCGGCGGGCTTGCGGATTTTTATTCCTAATTTTGTTTTTTTGCTAGTCTCGAAACGCAGCAACAGCAAAGCGAAACCGACTTTCTCGGGGCCTGAGTCACAGCGAAAAAGAAGCAAGGAAAAAAAAAAACCCGGCTGTCGTTGTCTAACTGACCGTCCTGACCGGGACGCTGAACATGCGTAAGTGGCAAGATGGCCGTGATAGTGTTGGGTCAGGAGGTTGGGAAGAAACCTCTCTAGGTGAGAGACTTCGGGGCGGGATGTGCGAGTGGTTCTCCGTGAAAGCTAGGAGAGAGGTCTCTGGGTGCACACCTCTCCACAATGGATCTGTTTTTGGAAGGAGGGGGTTCGGTTGACCGAGATCAGGCATGGTCGTGACCCCCGGCTACAAGCCGACGACACATGACACACAAGAAGATGTCTTAACCGCTGTCTCCCTCACCCGGCTGCAAGAGGAAACGACGCGCAGTCACCAAACGCTTCTCCCCTCGTAGTTTCACCACCTATCTGTTATCCGCCTCCCTTCGGCTATTGTCGCCGGCGCGCGAACAGACCCCCCGTGTGTGCCTTCACTCCGTTCAGCCACGGCGATTGTTTTCTTCATGGAGAATCTGTTCTTCAATTTGGTTCGTGCAACCCCCTCTCCCTCGAGGCCAATGGCCCCGGGGCGTCCCTATGCTATATACCGTTACTGTCTGATACCTAAAAATGAAATGACAGCAAGTCGACGGCCGTTCCCGTCCTTCGCTCCCAGAAATGATTCTAGCCCTGCTCGATGTCGAGTGAGGAATGGGAGAAAAAAAAAGCGTTGAACGTCCCCCACGCCAAAGCGTGTGAGGACGGAGAAGATAAGCCCATAGACGGTCCAGGCCTGGAAGAAAGAGTGCCGAATGCAATACCGTTTGTCCCTTTGTAAGCAAGAAAAAAAAATCAGTGGTGAGAACCATATCCTTTCCAAGAGGATTCATCGGCTTCGACATGCTCTTTGTCGAGACGCAGATGGATGGATGAATGATGAGAAAACAAATAAAACATGGCCCAAATACTCCTTTTCCTCCCTGATGCATGACGGGACCCTTCGCTTCTGGTTCATATCACATGTGCAGCTGCCACGGGCCCATCATCTACCAGAGACGTCCGGTAAGGCGACGGGTCAGCTTCTTGCGCGGTGGCGTCGGCGCGGGTTGGCGCAGGTTCCGCCAGCTGCGTTCGCGGTCTTCCCATGTCTGCATTTGGCCTGCAAAGGCGCAAGTCAGTGCCCAGGCTCTTCGAGTCACAAATAAGGGATGAGAAACCCACTGAGAAATCGGTTCCACCGACGATCCTCGTCCCAGAGGATGTCCTCGCCAGACTCCCGCGCAAGCCTCTCCCGACGAGCGCTCGCAGCGGCCTCTTCTCCGACCAGGTGCGGGTCCTCGAGCGGTCGAGACTGTCTCGTCCGCTGGGCGGCCTCCTCTTCGGCCATGCGTTCGGACATGACGCGACGGAGGTGCGCTACGGGGTCGGCGCCCTGGTTCATGCGTCGTCGGGCGACGTTGTTGAGCGTCGGGTTCGTGTGCGCGGCCGACCAGGTCTGGATGCGGAATTGATCGAGCAGCTGCGCCATGGGCGGCGTCGGGGGGATCGGCGGAAGGCCCGTGGTTCGGCGGGGCTGGGGGGTCGAACTACCGGAGCGATTAGAGGCCGGGGCGGCAGGAAGCAGTGAGCTCGGGTACGGGGTGGATCCGTGGGTGCCGCGGCTAACATCGCTGCTGTTGACCGGCGGCGAGTAGGCGGGAATAGGCTCGGGGTTCGGCACGGTCGAGTGGTAGGAGGGCGCATCTGAGACTGTTTGCTGTGTGTCAGCAAGCTTCGTGTTTCTATTCTGTGGCTCGATGAAAGACGGCAAAGCTCAGGCACGTCAGGCGCCCAGGACCGCCTCAAGATACAGTCTTCCTAGTATCCCACTTATGAGGCCCTCGTGACAGTAACAAGGTCCAACTCACAGTAAGACGGCGCGGCCGAGCGGATCGAGGCCGTTTCAAAGTCATCGGCGGTCAGCGCATCGGCATGCGAAGGGAAGAACCGTGAGTGCTCGGTCACAGCGGCGGCCATTTCAGCAGTGCTGTACTGTTTCTCAGCTGGATAGAAGGCGAGGTCCTAAACGGGAGTAGGCGTCGTATGTTTAAGAGTATTCCGTCGTGGGTAAGGTGCAGCAGAAGTTGAAAGAGAATACAACAACCATCTGGTTGCGGAGGAAGACCCGGGCCTTCAGAATAACGGGGCAAGCGCAACTTCAAGGTAGTCGCAGCAGGCAAATAAAGCGGTGACCCCGGGATGAGTTGTTGTATGTAGCAAAGGCAACTCTACCTCGAGCACAGCAAGACGGCAAGGATTCAGCAGCGGTTTGAGCGTTTAAGCTGTGAGTGACGCCTTCCAAGACCCGAGTTCTAAGACAAGAGTGTCAGGGGGAAAGAAGAAGTCGGTCACGCACGAAGCGGGAGAGAGGTGAGGTGCGCGCTGTCTACGGATAACAGCACGGTGATGGATGCAGTCCAGTCCGAGGCGGTGGGAACTGGGATACCTCTGCCCGAAGAGTGGGTGCCTTTGGTGCGCGGTGTGCGTGATGGAGGGGTAGGCCTGTGGAAGGTTGGAGCTTGGCGCAGCAGTAGCGCAGCTTCGAGCCTCTCTGGTGTGTGTGTATTTTTGTGTAGTGTGCTCAGGGAGAGGGAACCTTGCTCACCACGGACGAGATGGTGTGGTGGTGTGGAACAGGTGAGAGAGAGACAGACAGACAGAGGAGCTAGAGCGATAACAGAAGAGGCACAGGCGGGAGCAGGGTACAGGGTGTCTTCAGTCTCGTGTGTTGAGTGGTGTCGAGGCAGAGCGATGCAGGTCGAATATGTCGTTTTCCTCTTTGAGATACAGAGGGAGGGGGGAGGGGTCGAGGTAGTGGAAGGGGACAAAGTCGAAGGGGACGGGTGGCATGCAGGTTGAGCAGAGCATAGGTAGATGATAGCCTTATAACTGCTAGATCAGGACGGGGAGGTCTAGAACAAATGGGAGAAGAAAGGTCAGATTCACAGCTGAAGCAGCGGGATACGACCAGGTAATCCCACATAAGCTCGTTTACACCGAGAAGCCGATGAAGTGTCGCGTAAAAGGGAGGTGGGGGGGATAATAAAGCAGACAGAGAGAAGGAAGAGGCCGGAGAAGTCTGGAAACGACACGGCATCAGCAGTCATCATGCATTGCCTAGGTACCCAGCACCAGCGTCGGCCATGAACTTTTTACGGGCTGGCTGGCAATGGCCGGATGGAGGTGGTCCCCACCGGTCCTCATGGCGTCTCGTTCCTGGCGCAAACATGCCGACGCCCAGCATTGGCTGACGACGACGTGGGCCTCAGTGACTTTGGCCGGGTGAACCGCCCCATTTCGGACTCTGGGGGCGTGGATAGAGTGGAGGGACGAGTGGTTACTGTGCTATATTAAACGGGCGGCGGGTTTGGAGGGGAGATGTACAGGAGTAGTAGGATTCCGATGAGCGGTACGGCCTGGGCCAAAGTGGGAGTGAACGGCAGGTACAATGCATAAGCCACGAGTGCAGCGCGCCTCTGCCCTGGCACAGAAGCGGAGGCCGAGCGAGAATCTGCAATGGAAAAAGCATTGTAGAAGGGTTGGAAGGGGGGCATGAACTGGAACAAATGTTCCGAGGGTAAAGGTAGAGGCAGGTTCGGAAGAAGGGGCTCTCACTCGAGAGGAGGGCAACCTCTATGAGATGGAGTTTAGAAGGAGGGAATCACTTGGAGACCGAAAGAGAGAGGAGATGCCGAAGAGAGCCCGTAAGGTCAAAAGGCATCTCAGTCCCTCGGAGAAAGTGTCGACCAACAGGGTTGCAGGTGCGTGTCTATCTCTCATGATATGATAAAAGGCGCGGGGTTAACCGGTAAGAAGGCTCCACTATCAACCTTCCGTTTCCATGTTATGTTCGTCTGGTCGCTGTGAGGCCGGACTGCGAGTGACATTTGGCGACAGCACAGCATACTAGTAGGAAAGCACCCGTCACTTCTAACGTCCACAAACCCGCGCAGGGCAAGTACGATGTAGGTACGTACAAGTACAGGGTAGGTAGGTATCTATGGGAAGGTGCGATGTACGATGTACGATGTACGTAGTAAGTTTCGCGTCTCCACTGGTTGCCGACGCCCCGCCGAGGGCGCCGAGGAACAAAACAGTTCAAGCGAGCGAGGGGCAGCAGCGTCCATGTCCCTTGCGTTAGGAGGGAGCCTGCGCCGTCATGTGTCCCGCTGTAAGTCGTCCACTTCTCGACCTTGCTCCCTCTGGGCGACTGCCGTCGAAGAGCTGAGAACTTCGCGTTGCGTTTCCTCTCGGCCAGTGTCGATAATGGGTTGCTAAAAGTCTCGGCGGGGAGGAGACTCCAGTCTCCAGTCCTTTATGGGGCCCGTCGACATACTTGGGTAGTGCTTGCTCCAAGTATTCCAGAGTATTCGATACGTACCTTTTCGTCGCTGTGCTCCTTCCGATACCTGGCGTAGCGGGGACATTGCCTGCTCGGGCCTCTCCACCAGGGCCAAACACCTGGAAAATAGAGCAGTAATCACAATCATTGTACTCCGTACAGTCATGCTCATGCTCCCGCTTCCAAGCCCTGCCATCCCGCAATCCCACCCACATCGACTGCGTGCCAGAATGTCATGGGCAGCACCTTCGGGGCGATACGGATCCCCCCCGCCGATACTCCACTATGGCGCCAACTCGAGGCAAATCCCCGCTATCAAGGAAGAAGGAATGATAACAGTACCTAGTGTGCATCCCTCGACTGACTGTTATACAGGTACTATAGAGATAGTCACTCAACCAACCCGTCTGTCTTACATCCGGAAATCGCGAATGTGGTCGGCGAGCGGTATCAAGCAGCCCAGGACACGACTGAGACTGAACCGCGTGTTTGTTGCGGGAGGCTGCGAGACAAACAAGCCGTATTGGTGTGTACGAGTATTCCTACCTCGGACATGCTGCTAACTGGAGCCAAATCTAGCCCGTCTAACCCACTATGACGACTAACCTCCCTCCTGGGCAGCCCTACACGTACCGCCGAACTTGAATCCTGCTTGCCCTTCCACGAGGAGTCCACCCCCACCGATGGCCGATGTTCTTGGTTTCCCATCCCGCCGACCCCGTCCTGCCGTCTAGTCCCTTACCGCGTTATTGCTGCTGCTGCTGCTCCAAACCAAGTCTTGAAGACGATGGAACCTGGATGATGCTACCGTGCAGGACCAAGTGGGTTTCTGGAGGAGTTTCGGCGGGAAGCTTCTCGATTGCTTGCAAAGCTCACCAAGGCCGCATGTTGGCTGCACTCCTAGGTTGGGAGGCATGTGAAGTCGTGCCACACTGCGCACCACCCCCGGCCGGCGAATCGATGCAACCCAAAATCAACTTTGCCTGGCAATGGGGGCTTGAGTAACGGGCCAGATGTGGCACATGAGCACACGACACACGAGACACGCTCACACGACACACCCCAGCAAGTTGCGAGGAAGCCCATTTTGGGGGAGAAGGGGTCGCGTCTCGTACAGCCTAACCCTTATCACCGTCTCCCCACGGGATATGTGGTGGACAGTGCCATTCCAAAGGAAGGCGGCATGGCTTGGAAGGCAGACGAAAATGCCGGATCGACGCTGCGGCTGCGGAAGCTGCCAAGAAACACAACAAGACAGGAGCCTTCGGGCGATCGGTTCCCAGAATAGCCTTTTTTCTAAAGGGGGGGGGTTGTTCTTTTTAGGACTTTCTTGATTTGGTCGTCATTATCATCATCAACGTGAGTTTTCCCCTTCTCTCCTCTCGGACGGGGCTGGAAGGACGGGAGATATGCGATATGCACGTCATATGAACGTGAGGCCCTCCCTTCCATTACCCAGCTTTTGCTATGGTGATCGCATTCCCAATGCTCCCTAGTTTCTCCTGGAGGGAACTTGGTACAGCATTCATACACGCAGCCGACTGCACTCACATAACCTTGAGATCGTCGATGCTGGAGCATTCGCGGGGTCTGGGCTACCTAGGTTCTGCTTCGGCCTCCGCCGATGCAGGTTGACATCGCTACCGCGCGAGGCGATCGAGGTTGATCATTGAGACTAAATCTTAGGGCCACGCGTTGTTGGCCTTGGCCTTTTGAGACAACTCACCGTCCGGCCGCCATGCCTATTTCTCGGTAAAGCGTGCGTAAGACATCGGATGAGTCCAGTGTCGCCCGAATGAGCTAGTTATACCCGAACCCCAATGCTGGGCCGACATCAGACAAAACTGAAAGGCCTTCCATTAACGATCGAGAGAAACGCTAGGTCATTGTCACGTCCCAGATGGTAACTTTGCCTACGCGAGGCATGCTGCAATCCTGCCGTCCATGGTCAAGAACGCTAATTACATACATATAGAATGGACTAAGAACCAGAAAGTTTCCTGGTCAGGACACCAATATGTCAACCACTCCCTTTATAGGACGTCATGCCATGTAATTTCAAACCGACAAAAACTCTCCAAAGACGTGCGTTTAGAAATCAGACTGCGGGAGCGGCGGTCTCATCCTCTAAAACCCTATCCGCCCAAGATTTCGCGCTAGCGTGGCACCACCCTTCGCCTACTCATCCTTCTTCCCGACCATGCCGCCCTTCCTGAGACCCCAAAGCACAATGACGAGCACCGCCCCCGTGGCGGCAAAGATGGTCCAGAACGTGGCGCGGTAGCCCGCCATGCGCGCCTCCTCGGCGCGACCGATGATGCCCGAGTGCTCCGTCACGGACGCCGCTATGGCCGCCGTCACGGCGAGGCCAACGGCGTTGCCAATCTGCCCGATCTCGCTGAAAACACCGCCGGCGAGAGACTGCAGATCCGCCGGGAAGGCGTCTGAAATGATGAGGTTCGAAACTGTAAAGAGGGCTGTTTTGTGTCCCGTTAGTGTCTGCTGTGCTAAAGGGGGGTTGCGGAGGGGGGTGAATAGGTACCATCTGCGTTGACGGGCGAGAGGATCATGGCCCAGAATGGCGCAAACCAGTAATATCCATCGAGATCGACCGTGGCCATTAGGAGCGGAGCGATGGCGGTGATGACCGCCGACACGGCGCCTAGTGTTTGGACCTTTACCCTAGAGACGAGCCATGCGGCCGCCACGTTGACGGCGGCGCCCATGACGACGTGTGGGAGGAATCGCAGGGAGCTCTGCAGCGCGGAGATGCCTTGGACTTTTTGGAAGCTGTTGACACTTATCAGAATTCTCTCCCTGCTCGTTATGATGGGCGGATACTGACTAGAACATGATGAAGTACTGTATGGCGTTGAGTGAGGCCCAGGATAAGAAGATGGCAGCCTGTTGAATGTGTTAGGCCCCGAGTACCCTGCTGCCCGAATCCGACTTACACAGATGGAAGTAAACGAGGCATTTCGCCACAGACGGTTAGGAATGAGTGCCGGGCCGCCCTTTACGGTCTGCCGGTTCATCCAGAAGGGAAACGCAACCAGCAAAGCGACCGCCAGTGCCAGGAGAGCAATGTTTGCCGGGTCACCGATCTTGGTGTAAGAGGATGTTGTCATTGCCAGTACATATAGCAGGAGGCCCAAAGCAACGCTCATGATGACGGCCCCAATCCAGTCAATGTCCTCGGCCAGGCGGCGAGTCCACCTCTTCTCTGAAGGCTGGTAGACGGACGGGAGAGACCAGATCGCCGCCGTCGACAGGCAGAAGTTGATGATGGCCATCATGTAGAACCCCCACCGCCAACCGATGGTATCCGTGAAGATGCCCCCCAGGACCAAGCCGAGGGCGTACCCCAGCGGAAACCCGATGCCGTTCATCGAGAACGCGACGTTGCGCCACCCGCCCTTGGGGAACGTCTTGGTGATGAAGGCCATGGTGGTTGGTAGGCACGCGGATATGGAGATGCCCATGCACGTGCGGAACACGATGATCTGGATCCCCGTCTGTGACAGGCCCACAGCGACGGTGAAGACGGCGCAGAGGTAGCTGCCCGCCACCCACATGAGCTTGGCGCCGACGACGTCGGCGACGGCGCCGAAGATGAGGAGCAGACACCCAGCGGCGAGGCTGTAGACGGCCGCGGGCCAGAGCATCAGGCTCTCGTCGAGACCAACATCCGAGGCGATGCGGGGGAGGGCGGCAATCAGGATCCCGGAACCCATGGTGTTGAGGAAGTTGATGCCCGCGAGGGTGACGATGACTGTGACACTCTTGGCTACCGAGACATTGCGGGAAGGTAAACTTTGCGGAGTTTCCACCCTGGCTTCGTTGAGAGGGATATCCATAGCGTAGCGTGACGAGAAAATCAATCAGTGAGCCAGTTGCTGAGAGCTTATAAAGAAGAGTCACACACGATGCATATCAAGACTAACATCGAAACACTCGAGAGCAGGCTCAACGCAGAACCTTGATGCTTTTATAGCGCATATTGGAGTCGGCCAAGTACCTCCAATAGCTGTTGCTCGGTGATAAGTAGATTTGCAAAACGGAAAAGGCGTAAGCTGCATGGCCAATTGCACAGTGGTGCAGCAGCCTAGGGACTTTGGTGATGGAGGCATGGAGAGAGAGACTGCAACTTTGCAGGGGATGACCTCGATGATTGATAATCATGCAATGCCAGTATAGGCAAGTAATTCGGATTGCTTTGAAATCAAACACGGCAGTCAATTTGCGATTTAACACAAGTTGTCATCAACTAGCCCCTTGAAGGTGGGAGAATGGACGGTCAACCTGAGGTCCAGAACGCAGGCAGGAATGCCGTATTTCAAGGCGATTTTGGAGTTAGTTGCGCATAAGGCGACCGCTAAGCACGGACCACACAGCTTACATAACCGTGTTTAATTGAACATGTGACCTCGCGTGTAGCACCGCGCTGCACAGTGACCACCCCGCCAGCGCGTCAATATCTGGGTGTGCAGAGTACCTTGGTAGGCAGTCGAAACGCAGTGCTAGTGACCTCGAGTCTCCAAGCAGCAGCAAACGAACGCCCCCCTTGGCCCCTCCGAACCGAGCTTCCCCGGCCATACGATGAAGACGGCGTCATGGCCGCAGAACACCATGGCCATGGCAGGCCTGCTGCCGCTGCCGCCCCGAACGCGCCGCCTCCCTCCACGCTAGCTGCGCAGCTGGTCGAAAACATCTCGGCGTCGTCAAAATCGACGCGGTCCGACGAGAACGCCGAGCTGAAGCGGTTGTTTGCCGTCATCGAGAAGGTCAAGAACAAGCCCGACCTGCTCAAGAACGCCGAGCAGCGGACGGAGCACAACCACATGCTCATCTACGTCTACGCCCGCGTCGTCCTCGAAGGCATCAAGCTCGACGACCCGTTTGCCGACCGGAACCACCTGCGGAGCGAGGCGCTCAAGGCCATCGACTTCCTCAAGGTCACGATCGAAGAGACGCCCAACGTCTTGAATCATACCACGGACGGGAAACAATTTGTGTTCCGCGGGGAGGAGCCGCTCTGGGTATGGGTTTTCCCCAAGATCCTCAGGTTGCTGGGGCACTCTCGCTGCCTCGACCTGACGGCGCACATCGAGGGCTTCTTCCAGTTCGTGCTTCTCGCGGTGATCCGCGCGGGGTCGACGTGGAAGCTGCTCTCGTCCATGATCCTGTATCTGCGCGAGACCAGCAGTGGTAAGTGTTGGAGATCTGGCCGGCCAGTATGGTAGTGTCGCTGACCTTCCCAGCCCTTCTGAGCCGCCTGCAAGAAACGGCACCGAATGCTACTGGAAGGGACGTTTCCATAGATATCACACTACCTTCAGCCGCTACACTGGAGCTCTTGTTGGGAAAACCCGGCACCCTCTTTGTCCAACAGACCACATACACTGTGCAGCATGTCTCGCAGGCACTTCGTCAGGCTACGACATTGATATCCGCCTTGGCACACCCTTCAATATCCAAGAATTCGAGTATCATATCGCGACCATCGCTGTCGGAGCTGACGCCTTGGCTACTCGATTCCTTGCTTTCCATCCGTGCTGTAGAAAATACCTGGCAAGCTGTTGCTCCTAGCCCTAGAGCCGACTTGCTGAAGGTTTCTCTCAATCTGCTCCCCAACAAGCCTTCTCCTGCAAGGACATCGCTGGCCTCACAAAAGGCGTACACAATGCTGGCGTTACTCTGCGCTGAGCTTTCCGCGCATCCTGATGAGATCCTGGGGATTGATGAACAGAGCCTGGCGGCGAGGAAGACACTGTCCCTGGCTCTCATACGTCTGGCGCACGCGTCGCTCGTAGACCGAGAGATTGGTAGAATAGCGGCTCCGAAAATCGTCTTCCCGCTCGAACTGGTGTGCTCCGAGGTCCATTCGATGGGTGATGCCTATGATTTCTTGGTATGTTGATGACCGCAGCCACCTCTTGACTTGGCTAACCTTGCCAGCGTTCTATAAGAATCCTGAAACAGGCATCCAACTCCGTTGTGCCAGAGTCTCTTGACCCTGAAACACAGCCAGCATGCTTCACCGATGCTGAACTTCGCCAGGCTGTCGAAGATCTTGGCATCGGAGACAATTCCGCCAAGGAAAGAGAGCCTGTATCCAAGCGCAGGAAAGTCTCTTTGGGCGCCGGGGAGCTTGACGAGTTGACCGCACGGCTCTACGAAGTTCTCCAGGCAGATCCTATTCCCGATAATGGGACTTTGGAGCATGCCTTCCTGTACGTTGGTCTGTATGGGTGGATTGGACTTGCTGGCTGACGATTCCTAGAAACCACTATCCAGGACTAAGCGAAGAGGACCAGTGTATAGCTATCGACCTTGTCGCCCGCACCTGCTGTGTTGTGGATATGGTTGCGACGTACAATGAGTCGAGCATGAAGAGCAAGAGACTCCGATGCGCGTCGTGTGACCGGAAACCTAGAATCACCAAGAAGCCCAAGGTCGTTACGGCTCAAGAGAAAAGCGACGCGCAGTCAATTTTCACAAAGCTCATCCACCTCGACTCATTCAAGGAGTCGAGGCGACCAAGAGTCGTTGCCATGATTGCAATGAGGCGAATCATCAACCACGCTGATACCACACAATTAATCGACCTTGAGACGTCTCCTCTGGGACAATGGTGTCTACAAAGCTTACATAGCTCGGTTAGAGAGCTTCGGATTGCTTCAGGGTATGTCGTTTGCAACCTTCGAGTTGACCCATGCTGACCGGCTTTTTAAGACGCGCTCTCCCTCTCTTCCTAGAAGAACCCAATTCAAATACAGTTGATGTCGCTGTAGTCGAGCGTAACCGAAAGAACGCACTCAGCTTGCTCAAAGCTGCCTCGGAAACTGACGCGGTCATATTTCATGAGAGTGGAATTCTGGCTTGGAGCCAGCTAGGACGGTAAGTGCCACAGTAACTTTGAAGGCGAGTTCTGTTCGTTAGCAAGCTAACTAAATAGGGCCGTGACTGGGGATGAGCTCAACCTCGTGCTGCACAAGCTGCTGGAGTACCTTGGCAGCAGCAACAGTCTGATTGCAGCCTGTGCATTCAACGAGGTACGGCGGCTGCTTGTTGTTCCTGAAAGCCACGCAAAGCTGACATGCATCTAGATTCTTGGCCTTGCAGCCGCACTGAATACAACACCCCGTCGATTGTTTGAGCCCTTTTGGAGGAACCTGGCGTACTTCGCTGTTAAGGACATGATTTCTCGGCCGCAGATGACTCGTGCGATTGCCGACCTGCTGCAGATATCTGTTACCGATTTCCTTCTGCTTGTCCAGACCCACGCGATGCCATGGTTGGTCTTGATGAAGAAGAAAGACGTCATTCAAAAGATTGCCGAAGCACGGGGCGAAAAGGACATATGGGTCCCTATCCTGGACACCGCAAATGCTGGCCCTATTCTTGCGCTGCTGCTCGTGCAAGATGTGCGCAACATTGAGCAGTTTGTCATGTCAAGACTGATCGAAGTTGCTTCTCATCTGGAGTCCTTTAGCTTGATTGAGCTGATGCAAGCAGAGGTCGTCACCATCGTCCTCGAGTTGTTGAAGGCAGCCGGCGAGGCGGATCAAGCCCGAAAACCACGGGTAAGTCCATCAGGCCATGGGGTCCCTCAGCTGCTGACTTGCCACAGATTATCGAAGCACTCACATCCTTTTGCTCCATGATGGCAGTGGCAAACAAGGAGTCGAAACCGAAAAAGGGGAACATCATCGGAAAGTTTCTTCAATCATATATCCTCGGTCTCATGGCCCGACTCGCGGATGTTATCAACGACATGCCCCTCGTGTCGCCTCCAGTCGAGGAGCAGAGGCGATGCGTACGAGCTATGGAGGAGATGATTAGACTATGCAAAGACTATGTGCGCATCGCGCGGCCTCAGGTAAGCAACGCTAGGACGCGAGCCCGATTCGAAGACTGATCTGTCTAGATATCCGCATGCCTGTTGTCAGCTTTGGCCCAAGACGATTTGAGAGAAGCGGCGTTCTCTTGCTGGGCAGCTCTGCTCACGAATCTCGAGGCGGAAGACGTCGAGGTATTGCTCGAAACGACGTTCTTCGTCATCAGTCACTACTGGCCCTTGTTCAACGACAAGACTCGACAGATGGCTAAATGCTTGATCACAACGCTGATTGCGAAGTTCGGTTTGGTCCTCGGCGAGAACATTAGCAAACTACCGTCCTTGGCTCATGTACCAGAGCTGGCGGATATTGAAGCGCAGCTGAGCGCAATGCGTCCAGCACTTGATAGCAGGAGAGCATTTGCCCTATTTTCCGAGCGCATATCCCACGAAAACTCGGGTGTGGTATTGCAGGCTTTGACCGAACTCGAGACCTATCTTAAGCAAAGCGGGGGGTTTCTTCAGACTTCGGCAATCAGTCAACAACCAGATCCCGTCGTCTCCACCATGCTCCGGGCCCTGCTTGACTGTGCTTCAAAGTATAGTTCTATGCAGCTTGATATTGCCAGTCTCTGCACGCAGTGCATCGGTCTTGTAGGCTGTCTAGACTCTAACAGGGTCGAGGCGCCTCGCGAGCAGAAGTCGATGGTCATCTTGAGCAATTTTGAAAACGCAGACGAGACGACCGACTTCGTGCTGTTCATACTGGAGCATATTCTGGTTAGGGCGTTCTTGTCCACGACGGACACCAAACTTCAGGGTTTCCTGTCGTTCGCCATGCAAGAACTACTCGACAGAGTTGATATCACGGCGGCGTGTGCGATGAAGAAAACCGGCATGAGGGATGGTGGGACCATCTACAGAAAGTGGCTAGCCCTGCCGGAGAGCGTTCGCATGATTCTCACGCCATTTCTCACGTCCAAATATCTCCTGACACCCATGAACATGGCCCCAGTCGAGTACCCCATCTTCCGGCCAGGCAAGCCCTATGGGAACTGGATGCGCTCGTTCAACATGGATCTCCTGCGTAAGGGACAGAACGGGCATGCGGATCTGATCTTCGAACCGTTATGCCGCACCATTCGAGTCAAGGATCTGGCGGTAGCGGAATTTTTGCTGCCTTATCTTGTTCTGCACGTCATCATAGGTCACCGAAGTTCGCGTCAGGAGCGTGATAATGTCATAGGTGAACTCGTTGGCATTCTTCAACATCAGCCCGCAGAAGACGCTCCATATTCCGAACGAGCGGACATGAAGCTGTTCTGCGAGGTGAGTCAAACCTCTTCCTCAAATAAACTTTGGCTAATCGACCCAGGCCGTCTTCCGGGTTCTCGATTACGCGAGCAGATGGCTTCAAGAGAAGAACGCCAGGCGCAAGACTGATCATGACTTGCCCGCCATCGCACGCGTTGAGGACCTGCTAAGCACGATCCCTCCGGTGCTCATATCCCAACGTGCGATGGACTGCAAAGAATACCCCCGTGCACTCTTCCATCTCGAACAACATGCTCAGCAAATGGAGGTCGAGAAGAGCGACCCAAGACAGAAAACGCTCCTTCTCGAGCAGCTACAGGACATTTATACCCAGATTGACGAGCCCGACGGGCTGGAGGGCATTTCAGCTCATCTCCACGTTCTGGACATCAACCAACAGATCCTTAGTCACAAGAAAGCGGGCAGATACACCGCCGCCCAGACGTGGTACGAGATCAAGTTGGCGGAAGAGCCTGACAATACCGATGTGCAAGCTGACCTCCTCAACTGCTTGAAACAATCTGGTCAACACGGTAAGTTGCTATGCAGAATCACTTTGAGGGAGGGGGGGCGAGTCAGCTGACGATTCAAGATGTGCTGCTCAACTACGTGGAAGGCATGCGAACGGATCCTTCGACAGAGAACAAGATTGTCCCCTTCGCCGTCGAAGCAGCTTGGGCCACGCGGAGATGGGACACGTTGTCCAAGTACACCAGTCGATTCCACGGCAGTCCTTTGGAAGACTTCAATGTCAGCATCGCGAAGCTGTTCGACGCGCTACACCAAAGAGGCGCTAACAGCGAGACTTTCCCCCGAATGCTGCAGAGTATGAGAGAGAAGATTGCTTCCGCCATGACTCACTCAGCAACCTCGTCTCTGCAGGCCTGCCACGACCTCAGACTCAGATGTCATGTGCTTACTGACCTGGAAATAATTGCCGGAAGTCCAGCCTCTGAAAATGAAGCACACCAAGAAGTGCTGACGGTGCTGAATCGCCGCCTGGAGGTTCTCGGGGCATATGTGAGCGACAAGCAGTATCTGCTGGGCATCCGCAGAGCAGCCATGGAGCTTTCACGGTATGTTTCGTTCATGCCATGCGCACGACCAAAACTGACAGATCACAGGCCCAAGTTCTCCGATCTGGACATCTCATCTCTGTGGCTGTCGAGCGCTCGACTGGCCAGGAAGGCCAACTCAGCCCACCAGTCGTTCAACGCTGTGCTTCACGCCTCTCAACTTGGCGATGGCGCAGCAGTCATCGAGAACGCTCGACTGTTGTGGAAAGATGGCCATACTCGCAAGGCTATCCAAGTCCTGCAAGGCGCCATAGAGTCCAACAACTTCATGACGCAGACCAACAGTTCTTCCTCCATCCGGGGTATGGATGCCCAGCAAAGACAGCTGACGGCCAGAGCGCAGTTGATGCTCGCAAAATGGCTGGACGCCGCCGGCCAGACGAACCACGCGACTCTACTCGAGAAATACCAGCAGCCCCCCAAAACCGCGTCAAGTTGGGAAAAGGGACACTACTACTTGGGACGCTATTACAAAAAGGTGCTGGAATCCGAAAAGACACTCAAGCCGGACGATCAAAGCGATCCCTGCATCCAGGGAGAATACACCAGGCTCATTATCGAAAACTACCTGCGTTCACTGAATTACGGCACCAAATATCTCTACCAGACCTTGCCGAGAATCCTTACGCTGTGGCTCGAGTTCGGAGCACAGGTCGATAAGGCCCCCGAAGGCAAGGTCTCGCTGTCCCGCGAGCTCCATAGGAGGCGAACGGAGCAGCTGAACCTCCTCCACCAGTTCCTCGACAAGTACATTGTGCGGCTTCCGGCGTACATATTTTACACGGCGCTTCCCCAGATCGTGGCGAGAATAGCGCATCGCAACTCAAGCGTCTACGAGCGGCTGATGCACATTGTTATCAAGGTTGTGGAGTCGCATCCTCGGCAAGCTCTCTGGAGCCTGTTCGGCATTATGACAACGCGGCAAGCGTCGGAGCGCAAGGCCCGAGGCCAACAAATCCTGCAGACGCTTCGGGGGATTTCTCGCAAGGTCGATGGCGGCAGCTTTGACCTCAAGACGCTGCTGAGGATGGGCGAGAAGCTTGCGGAGCAGCTTTTGCTGGCGTGCAACAACGGAGACTTCCAGAGCAACAGGACAACGGTGGCGAGCATCACGCGGGATCTGAACTTCAACCACAAATGCACGCCCTGCCCCCTGGTGGTGCCGATAGAGTCGTGCCTGACGGCTGCTCTACCGACGTTGACCGACAATGTCAAGAAACACAAGGCGTTTGCGCACGACGTCATCACAATCGACTCGTTCCTGGACGAAGTGCTGGTTCTTGGGTCTCTGGCCAAGCCACGACGGCTTACGGCTCGCGGAACGGACGGAAGGAACTACATGCTCATGATCAAGCCCAAGGACGATCTTCGCACCGACCAGCGCCTGATGGAGTTTAACAGCATGATCAACAGGTCGTTGAAGCGGGATCCCGAGGCCAGCAGGCGGCAGCTGTACATCAAAACTTACGCGGTGGTGCCGTTGAACGAAGAGTGCGGCATCATTGAGTGGGTGGACGGGCTGAAGACGCTGCGAGAGATCCTCCTGGACCAGTACAAGACTCGGTCAGTCCATCCGGACTACAACCAGATCAAACGGATGATGGCTGAGGCGGTGACGGGACCGAACAACGTCAAGATGTTCACCGAGGGCGTCCTAGGGACGTTCCCACCGGTGTTGCAGCACTGGTTCGTGCAGCGGTTTCCTCATCCTTCGACGTGGTTTTCGGCGCGGCTCAGGTACACGCGGTCTTGCGCCGTCATGTCGATGGTGGGCACGATTTTGGGACTCGGGGACCGGCACGGCGAGAACGTGCTCTTGGAACGCGACAACGGCGGCATCTTTCACGTCGACTTCAACTGCCTCTTCGACAAGGGCTTGACGTTTGCGCAGCCGGAGAGGGTCCCGTTCCGGTTGACGCACAACATGGTGGCGGCGATGGGGATTTACGGGTACGAAGGCCCGTTCCGACACTGCAGCGAGCTCACGCTAGGGATCCTCCGGCAACAGGAGGAGACGTTGATGACGATTCTCGAGGCGTTCATCTACGACCCCACGCTCGACCTGCAGAAGGAGAAGAAGACGAGCCGTAGGCAGGACGGGGCGCCGCGGATGCAGCCGCAGCTCGTGGTGGACAGCATCAAGCGGAAAGTCAAGGGGCTGATGGGGCACGACACAATCCCGCTGGGTGTGGAGGGACAGGTGGAAGAGCTGATCAAGCAGGCCGTCGACCCGAGGAACCTGGCAGCCATGTACATTGGGTGGTGTCCGTTCTTGTGAAGGGGGGGGGGGAGCGGGGCTTAGGGAGTCGGAAAGGAAGGATTAATGGCACGATGGACCGGTGTCATCGTGGAGAGACGATGGCTATGAATGAAGGACGGGACTTGAGTTGGTGTTGGGGATGCGGAAAAGGATATGTGCTAGCTAGTCATCGTGTAATTCTATTGTATACTAGCTCGTTGGAACACGACATTTCTTCATGATTACGATTCCAGTGACGGTGGGTGTTGTTTGTGCCGGAGGCTGGACAACCAACAGCATTCCACTCTGTCATCGGCCTTCTCTGCCTGGACCGGGGCCTGGCTGGGGCCTAGTGGTGCCTTGTGACGGCTAGGTTACCGCGCAGGGGGGGGCGATCACGACCGCTGAAGCTCCAGGGAGCTTGGGGCACCGGGACTGGGCCGTGCAGGCAGGAAGCACCTCCCACCTCACCGCTAATCAGCAAGCAAAGCAATCTGCGGACACCACCCAGAGATCAGACAGAGGCTACTTTCTTTCCTTGCTCGTCCGCCCTTTTTTTCTCCCGAACTCTTTCGTCTCCCAAACCTCGACGGTTCTTACTTTTGTGTAGAAACATCCTACGACACTCATTCAGCTGGATCAAACAGAGACCTTCAAGATGCCTGACTATCGCATTGGTGAGTATTTTGATTTTATTTTGCTCCACCAAACAAATCGTTGTTTCCCCTTTGATGCGGCGGGTTTCGGAGCTGCGGTCGCGTCTAACGACCACTCGGCGACGCGTCAGAGCTACTGCTACTGCTACTGCTACTGCTACTGCTACTGTTACGCCTTACGTCATGGGAGGAGCTCCAGCTTGGACAATATTCTGCCAAACTCGCACTCTCACTCTCAACCGAGAAAGCGTGGCTAACTGGTTCACCCCCCCAAACAGAGGTCTCGCCAAACAACCGCGCCGGTTGCACCGATGGCGTGTGCAAGAAGGCGGCCAACAAGTGCCTGAAGGGCTCCCTCCGCTTCGGCACCTGGACCAAGATTATGGATCATGAGTCCTTCAAGTGGAAGCACTGGTATGTGGTCGACCCCCTTTCTCACTTCGATGTGCCCGGTTTGGCAATCGTCACGCATGCCACTGTCTTATGGCTTGAAGCTGCACTTGTTGACTTTTCATGACGCAGGGGCTGTGTCTCTGGTGAGCAAATGGCGCACGTCAGGGAGCTGTGTCAGAATAAGGACGGCACGTTCGACTTTGATGCGTTTGATGGCTACGACGAGATGGGGTAAGGCCCCCTTCATTTAGGACTTACGGGCAGCAGCCGCCACTGACACCCGTGCCAGTGACCACCCGGACCTACAGGCCAAGGTCCGCAAGGCTATCGAGCAGGGCCACATTGACCCCGAGGACTTCAACGGCGACCCCTGGATGAACAAGCCCGGCCAGCGCGGCATCCGTGGCAAGAAACCTAAGGACTGGGACGACGGCGAGGAGGCCGAGGTAAGTTCTCTCCCGGTGGACACCGGCGCACATGAAGGCTCACGCTGGACCACAGGAAGAGGAGGCTCCTGCCAAGGGCAAGAAGCGCGGCCGCAAGTCCGCCGCTGCTGGTGAGGAGGAGGACGACGAGAAACCCAAAGCAAAGCGTACTAAAAAGGCCGCCGCCAAGGCTGAGCCGGAGGACGATGACGAGAAGCCCAAGCCCAAGGCGAAGCGCGGCAAGGCCGCTGCCGCTGCGGCGAAGGCCGAGTCTGAGGAGGATGAGAAGCCGAAACCCAAGGCGAAGCGCGGAGCGCGAACGCCCGCCGTCAAGGATGAGTCCGACTCCGCGGTGGAGCAAGAGGACGAGGCTCCCAAGCCCAAGCGCGGCGCTGGGAAGAAGGCCGCTCCGAAGAAGGCCAAGGTCGAGGAGAGCGAAGAAGAGCCCGAGGCCGAAACCCCCGAGTCCGAGGCCGAAGAGGAGAAGGCGCCCGCGCCGAAGAAGGGCAGAGCGGGGCCCAAGGGCGGTAAGAAGGCTGCCCCTGCTGCCGAGAAGCCCACGTCCACCCGTGCCAGCCGTTCCCGCAAGTAAGCCTTTCCGTACGGGACCAGATTTGCCGCGAGGTGAAGGCTGGCTGGCTGGAGCATCGCCCTTCTACAGCCGGTTGCGGGAATGCGTCGGATTATTTCTCCAATAATCATCTGCCGCGCGGATGTCTATATATTGCCCCTGTCGTTTTCGCGTTGTTCTTTCAAGCTCATACCCGTCGATGCGGCCCGCAAGACATCCCCAAGCTGCGATAGTAGACGGGGGATCTGTACACTACTTATTTGTCTACGTTACTGCTCGTTTGTTTGCTGGACCGGGGAAAGAGATCATGGAACCCCGGGGGGGGAAAACGAAGACCTTGCCTTCTTCTGGGTCGGGCGGAAGTAGCCAGCGATAGATGTACTTTGTTACTTAGTTTAATGCAGATGCCGCTGCGTCTCGACACCCCAATTCCGGAGGCCCGCCGCTAAATTTGACGATTGGTCTGATGTCAAGGGGGCGGAGGTGTCGCAAGACGAACGCATCGAACGGCTTGGTCAATAATCCTGGGTGAGTGTGCGAGCGTAGACACACACAGTCCCTATGCCCCAACTGGAACTTTGTCCTTGACAAGTCTTCCCGAAAGGCGGGAGGACGTGCTCGCACGGCGGGGCCGCCGCCGCCGCCGCCGCCGCCGAAACGACCGACGCAGGGACCCGGCCGTGGGCCTCCCGTACCCCCGTCGCCGTCCGGGCGTCTAACCACCAAAACGCGCTCAGAGGTTCGACATACCGGCACATGTTAGTCTCGGCTAACGCCACAGTAAACACGAGAAAAGACGTACGCGTCTCAACGAAAGGGTGCTCGCTCACATTGAGATGAGACCCAAGGATTTCCAGAAAAATCCGCACCCAGAAAAAAAAAATTAGAAAAAATATTTGACGGAGCCTTATTCACGCGCCTTGTCAGTATCTGGTCGTAAAATCGTTACTTGTTCCCAATACAATCTAAACTCCGGCCCTGTTTGTCTGCCGCTGCAATATTGCATTCATAAATCGTTACACATGGTGCCAGGCAGAACCCCCCCCCCCCCCCCCCTCACCAACAGATTTGGGTTATAAGAAAAAGAAGACACGCCCCCATACGTTTTTCCCCCACAAACAGACCCAGATCCGGCCCTCTGATGGCAGTAGTACATCTCATTCAACATCGACGTGTTCTGCATTCAAACCCAATCACAGGCTGTCTGTCTGTCTGTCCCATTCCAAGCTCACGAGGCCGGGCGACGGTTGGGCGCCCGATTCATGTGTCCTTGGGTCACCGTGTGTACAATGCTTACCAACGACGGGGCCGCTGGCTGTCGTAGACGACCTCGCGCTCGTAAACCCGTTCGTCTTCGTACTTGCTTGGCGGGTGGCGATGGTGGTGGTGGTGGTGAGACCGGCGGTCCCAGTCGTCGTGCACCCACTCCCTCTCGTACTCGCGGACGCGTTCCTTACGGAAGCGGCGGATTTCGTCCGACACCTGGACGAGCTCTAGTACGTCATCCTAATTTTCATTAGTACGGTTTGTTTTACCAAGTGGCCGGGGCTGGGACTAACATATTTCAGGTATTGCATGATGTAGAAGAAGTACTCGGTCTCCTCAAAATCGTAGCCGAGCTCGATAATGGCGTCGCGAGTGACCAGGTCCTTGGTGATTTCTGTCCACATCTCATTGCGCTTCGAGGGTTGGCGGCGGGCCGGGGCGCGCTCCTTGGTCTTCTCGATCTCAATCTCCGTCTCCCGGTCGTACAGCTGGAGGCTGAGACGGTCCCGCGACTCTCGGGGAGAGGGCTCGGGGGCCGGGGCCGAGGTGGGCGCGCCGTCTCGCTCGGGAATGAACTTGGCACGTCTCACGCCATTATAACGCTGCCAAGTGACCTCGGCAGAGCCACCACCCACGCCGTCCATACGGACGCGCTCGGTTCCGGGCGGGACGTCGATGATGGCCCAGTCCTTAGTAGCGCCGTTCCAAGCCTCGCCCATCTTGCCGCGCGAGTCGATCTTGGAGGTGATGTATTCCGACTCCTCCTCGACTGGCGTCCGTGCAGCCGCCGAGTGGGCTCTGCGGCGCGATCCACTATGGTAATGGTCATCAATCCGGAGGCGGTCGGTGCTCAGCACCAGCTCTCTGTCGTGGAAAGCGGGAGACCTGCGCTCCCTACTAGGAGAGCGATGGCGGCTGTGAGATCGGTGAATGTCAATGTCGGTTCCCCTGCGGGACGTGGTGATGTCGATGTCCAGCTCCCGGTCTTCGGTACGGGTCTTGGGCCGAGGGGCGGGACGAGGAGGAGGGGGCGGGCTGGGCACGCGGGTGACACCTGAGAGCATTAGACCTTGCCGGGCTCTCGGTTTCTGCTGGCACTGCTTGTACTCACCATGATCAATGTCTCTGTAGTGGGTAATGACCTCCCGCTCAATCGTGGGGCCACGAATGACCTGAGGCTGGGGAGGCGGGGGCGAGGGCGAAGGAGACGGCACCCGCTCTTTTTCTCTCTCGCGCTCGACGATACGCACGCCTACGCGGCTGCGTTCCCTGGCGGGAGGCGGCGGAGAGGGCGACCTTTGGCGTTCAACGTATCGAGCGCGGATCTCCTGAGGAGGGCCACGGGACGGGCTGCGAATCTCACGTTCGCGCTCAGAAATGCGCACCCTCGAGCGCTCAAGCTCCTGGTCATGGTGGACGTGGGGGGGAGGCGTCAAGCTGCGGGCTTTGCGGATGATCCGCTCGCGGTACACAGGACTTGGAGAGCGGTGGCGGGGCCTTGACAGCTCCCTCGACTCAACCTCTCGGCGGCTCAGGACGAGAGCGCCTGATTCAGGAGCACGCTCCTCGCGCAAGAAACGGAGGCGGTCGCCTTCACGTTCGCGTTCGCGCTCTTTCACGCGGACGTCAACTTCACTGAAGGCAACGCGGCTGTCAGACCGCTGTCGGCGGTCGTCATAAAATCGCTCCTCAAAGTCGTTGGTCCGGTAAGCCATGTTTTCCTAGGCAGACGCAAACGGCTTTCGGCTCGGGAAGGGTGAGTTACGGCGGGGAGGCGCCCGAGCGTGCGTGAGGGTTTCTCTGGACGGGTGGGATGAATGGCGGGGTAGTAAGCGGTGTCGATCGTGTAGCGCAGGTGATGGCGTGAGCGCTGGCAACACTAAACAACAAAGACAGACACGGGGTATCGTGCACGAACGGGAGAAGCGACCCTGAAAAAGAAGAGGATGGGCCAGACGTCTCTTGTAGCGAGACAAGATGCAGGGCAGCGGGGGATCTACTTTGGTCTGAGGCCGGGCCTAGTAGAACTGAGCCGGCTTGGTGAGGGAGTGAGAAGAGGGGGTGTGGAAGAGAAGGATGGAGTGAGTGAGTGGGTGAGCGAGAGAAGAAGGGAAAAGAGTCAGAGTAGGAGCAACGTCGTCATAGCACAGCAGAACAAGCAGGCTATGTATGTATGGGCGTATGGATGTAAGTGGGCAAGGTGGTAACGTGGGTATGTAATAAAGGCGGCGGGCAGGTGATATAGGGCGGCGTACCAACAAGAGGCTACGTGCGGCTGTGCTTCTTTTGGGTGTTCGTGGAGGATTTCGTAGATAGCACTGGCTGGGCAGATGGACAGACGGAGGGGAAGAGAGGGACGGGGTGCAAAAATGGGAGGGGTTGGCCGGCTCAAGGGCAACTGGGTGTGAGCCTGTTCTCAGCTTGGCCAGCTAGTGTCCCGCCGAGTTCTGTCGAGTTCGAATCCCTCCCAGCTGTGGGCATGCGCCGCGCGGTGAACCGCTGTCACCAAGCAGGGGTACTCCCGACGTTTTGTCTAAACTCAGTTGCTGCGGGAAGCGGGACGGTAGGGATGGCGTCGCAAATGTAATGGTGGGTGGCCCAGGTCCTGGGTTAGAGAGTGTCTAAGGCAATTAATCAATTTGGGTTGACGTTCGATTCAGAGGTCCCCGAAGAAGAAGAAGAAAAAGCAGCCTGTTCGGATGCCAAATGCTTGTCTGCCCGGACTGTCTGTGGCGGTAAAGAGGCCCCTATCGTGAGGAGTTGGGCGACCCTTGGATGCCCAGTCAAATAAGGCAGAGACGGAAGCAAATGGCGGGAACGGGAGAAGGCTCTAGACGCCTGGGAATCAACGGTTCAGGGTAGCGTTGTCCAGGGCCAACGATACCGCATACACGGAAAGCAGTTGGGAAGCAGCAAAAACAGACAGCAGAAGCCGACAGGAGAGCGATAGATGACGGGCAGATGGATTGCAGCGAAAGCAACAGCAGGCCAAAGAAAGGCACCGAGATGCGTAGAAGCGTGATGCAGGTGGTCGTTCCGTGGAAGCATCCACTTGGGCTCTGGTGATGGTGACGACGACGATGATGGTGGTGGTGGTGGTGGTGGTGGTGGTGGTGGTGCAGGTCAAGGAGATGCCGAAACAGGCAATTGGCGCCTGGATTCTCACCGATATCCGGTGCCCAATGGCTGTTGCTAGACCTGTGACTTGCAGGTTGTGGTGCATGGGACCAAAGTATTGGCCGAATCTAGTCATCTTCTCAGCCCGGATGGCTGTCATGATAGAAAGCCTCAAAGGCACCGATTACATGACGTCGGTTCGGACGGAGATGCTGATTTGACGGTGGCATTTGGACTGTATGTAACGAGAGAAGGGACAGACGTACCGGTACTGGAAAGCACCTCCCCTCTTCTCTCGTCTGCTCTGGCTGAACAGAAAGAACACCAAACCCTAGGTAGCTAGCTAGCCTAGCTAGTATCTATCATAACGGCAACTGCAAGGCAGTGTTCTTAGTAGTACACTTTTCCCCCTTCCATGCACGCGCTCCGCTCCGCCCTCTCTACCACAGACGAACAGAACAGGCCGACCCTGCTGCTTCGGTCCAGCGTTCCATCTTGCCTTGCAATACCACTCCAAGTTCATGACAATGCGATACCAAATGCAGACCGGCTTCCCCAAAGACCTGATTTTAGATCTTAGTACTTTGCTGCTATTGCTGGGAGTTCCGGTGAAACCAGGGGGGGGGGTTCAAGGAACATGTCCAGTCCTAATTGTGGAAAGGACGGGAAGGAGCTAAGACGACGAAAAGAGTGGGGCACATTCGCAACTGTCCAACTTTTCCTTCCACCTCACGTCCTTCTTTCCAGTCTTGGGGTCGCAGAAAAGAGGAAGTAGCTGTCATCTATCTCTCCTTCCATATTTCTCGTTGGGAGATCCCTTTTC